ATCCCACAAGCCACAGCCAAAAAAAAAAAAGAGTGGGTCCAAACCTGGTCTCTACCATTTGCTACCTGTATGATGTGGATGGAACAAGTTACTCACTGTCTTTGGGCCTCCACTTTCCACACATAAAATGGGGACAGTAATGCCTGCTGTATGAGGCTGTTGTGAGGATAAGAGATAATGAGGTAAATATGAAGTGTTCATAACAGTGGCCATTGCTATTGTTGTAAAATGCAGGTTTTTTACCTCACTGCTCCTCACCTTAAACTATCGCAGCTGGAATATTATCATCTTGGGTCTTTGGGTTAGAAATGTGTACTGAAATCTGTAGTGTTTTATTAAGTTGATAGCCTCATGCCATGAGCTTTAATGGAAAGAGGTCTGTTTGCTGGGGGACTTTATAGACAATACTGTATTTGACATGTGACGGAGGCCTTATATGACATTCATTATACACATGAGAAAACCGAGGCAGGGAGAGGTCAAATAACTTGTCTCAGGTCACATGGCTAGAAAATAGCAGGGCCAGGATTTAAACCTGACTCCAGATTGTCCCACCACACAGGGCCCTCCCTACCTGTTGTGTTTCTGCTCTGTGTGTTGTCCTGCCCCTTCCTGAGTGGGCCTCTTAAGGTGTCCCCAAGGCCAGGGACAGTCATGATTATTGCTTCCTTGTCTCCCAGGCTGTGGCTCAAGCACGCAGTGGGTCCTCAGTCTATGCTGCTGACCAGGGAAGTTGAGCCCCGCTTAGCTAGGGACGAGTCCTCTTAGGAGGGAAGTGACTCACATGGGCCAGCTGTGTCTGTGTGGCTCCGAGTGCGTCTCTGTCTCCGAGTGCGTCTCTGTTGTGTGGGTGGGGGTGTGGCATGAACGTGGTCCTGTGGGGATGATGTGGAGGGAAACCCAGGCTGGTGATCCAGTCGCTGCTGTCTCTGCCAGCCCCAGCCAGGGCCAAGCCTGCCGAGTCACAGAGCCCCCGGCCCTTCCCAGGCCCTGTCTGCTTGAGGCCTCTCTTCTCCTCAAGCTCCTACGCCATCCCGACACTCCTTGTGTCTCAGCCTTTCAGATGCTTCCTCCACACCTCAGCGCCCTAGCTGAGCCTGGGAAGGGGTGGGGGGCGGGGGTCTCAGGGCCATCTTCCTCCTCAGCCCAGTGCAGGCATCTGGCTGGGGCCACAGCTGGTGTCAGCTCCTCCCCCCCGCCCCAGGAGAAGCTCTTTGGGTATGTCTAAGGCTGGGCCCTGCTATTTTTAGATAACATCCCCTCCCTCCCCCTCCCAGCCTCATACCAGCTGGGGGAGGAAATGACTCACCTCAAGCCTAGACAGGTAGAGGCTGCCTCAGTGAGCCCCAGGCAGGCCCTGCCTGGCTCCAGCTCTAGGACTGCCCCACCTGGGGTCACCCCAGAGTGGCCTGCCCCCCAGCCTGAGGATAAAGCTGGGTTGGGATCAAGGCCCAGGATCCCACCAGGCTTTTCGTGGGCTCCCTCTGCTATTCATCTCACAGGGCCTGGGGCAGGACACCTCCAGCAGGTTGTGGACCCTCTGCTCACCTTAGCAGACTCTGGGTCTGTGCTAGGCCCCAGCCCAGTCTGAGGGGGCCAGACAGTTTGAGTGCACTGACCATGGTCCCACTCATTAGCCTCAGTGGAGACCAGGGGTATAGAATGAAGAAAGACCCCACTCAGTAGGGGACGGGGAAGGCACGAAGACCCTGGGTGTGTGTGTGCTGAGTAGGGTGCCCAGTTGTCCCAGCTTGCCCGGGTCTGAGGAATTTCCTGGGACTTTCAGTGCCAAGCAGGAGAATTCTGGGTAAGCCGAGACTGTTGGTTGCCCTGGCACTGAGTATGGTCTGTATCCTGGGGAAAGGGCAGGTGTTGGGAGCTTGTTTGGATGTCCTGGCCTAGTCTCACCCAGTCATGGCTGGAGGACCAAGTTCCTGGCCCGAGCCCTCTCTGCAGTCAGGGGATGGTGAACAGAAGTCCACCTCCAAGGGGAGGGACTGGGCCTGGGCTGTGCGAAAGGCTGGGAGCTCTGCACAGGCTGAGAGACCCGGGCAGCACCTTGGTCGGGGTGCCTCTCCTTGCTAAAGCCAACGAGGGGAAGGTTGGGCCAGTCAGCACAGGGCTGAGGGCAAGGGTGAGCAGAGCCGGTGTTGGGGGAGGAGGGGTGCTGGGGAAAGACACTGGGAAGAGCAGGAAGGAATGACAAGAGCACAGGGTTGGCACTGGGGAGGCTCGGGTTCCGGGCCCACTTACCGCTAGGCGCCTCCATCAACTGTAAAATCGGGGAGAGGGGCACCTGTCTGCCTGCCCCAGCTACTTGCAGTAAGGACTCTGAGAGAATGCCTGGGGCAGTGGGTGGCAGGCTGGAAAGTTGGGGCTGGGGTAGTTGGTTAGTTGGAGAGGCCTTGCTGGGGCTGACAGCCCGCAGAGCTCTCAGCTGGTCAGGGAAGTGGGCCTTTGCCCTCCTCTCCAGCCCAGATCAGCATCTGGTCAACACGGCTCCTGGACCTGAGGCCTCACCTCAGGGGTCATATTAAAGGAGCTGTGGCTGAAGCCCAGACCTTGATGGGGGGACCCTGCTCTGCCATTGTCCTCGTCATCCTCGGGGTCTTGGCTCTTTTCCACAGACCAGGAGTGAGGGGCCTAGGCAGCGGCTCTGACACAACTGAGCTGGGCAGCCTGAGGCTAACCACTTCTCTTTTCTGGGCCTCAGTTTCCTCACTGGTGAAACTGTGGGGTTAGATGAGGTCTCTGGTTTTTCAATATTTATTTTTGTAGTAGAACCTCTTCTCCAATCAAAGGTCCAACTGGACTAAACGTTTGTTTTTCAGTGGGTGACTGAAACACGAGCAGGGCTGCTGGCCCCCTCTCACCTTCACCCTCGCACCCCCGGGGGCCCAAGGGCTCAGGGGGACACAGTATGAGACCCTCCTTTGGGGTGCCTGCCATTTCTAACACTTTTATTATTTGTGCCTCGATGGCAAAGGTGTCCTTGTTTCCCTCTCTAGGTAGCCCAGAATTAGACCCCAAGCCCAGCACTTGGCACCGTCTACTAAATCCTCTAACTCCTGGTTCCTGCTGACACTGAGGTCTGTTTCAGCCTTTGTTACAGAGTTCAGTGGGCCCACAGGCCCCTGGTCCTGTCTCAGGGAAGTTACAGGACCAAAACCTACGCCACAGCTAACCTTGTGGGGCACTTCTGGGCTTGTGAAGGACTTCCATGACCTCATCTCATGTGCCCCCTGACAGCCTGCAGGAGAGGCCTGAGAATCCCATGGGACACGGATCTTGGGAGATTGTCTCAAGATCCCCCTACCTGGGGTGCAGAGCTGGGCACGTAGCCAGGAAGCCAGGTCCTTCCCTGGAGCCACAGTCTGGGCACCTGGCCAAGGCCCAGGCTTTCCTTAGCTTATCCCCGGGATGCTGGCACCTGCAGGCACCAATGACAGAAAGAGGAGGTAGGAATGTATGAGGAAGGCAGGAAAGAGGGAAAACTTTCGTCCTCATCCTGGGGGTCTGGGGCAGTCATTCCTCCCAGCTTACCGAACAGTTAGGGTTACCACCACTCCACCCATCACCTTCCCTGCTGAAGTCAGAGAGGGGCGAGGAGAGGAGGGAGGGCAGGAGGAGGAGGGGTCGCCAGGACCGCAGAAGCTGGGACTGCACAAACGGGTACGGGAGGATGCCAGAGGCCAGGCAGCTGACCCGGGGTCACCCAAGGCCCCTGGGGAGGCCCCCGCCAACGCTGACATTAGCAGTGCCCTGGAGGGACGTGCAGTCCTCACGCTGTCTTCTCTGGCTCTCACGACAGCAGGCATGGGGAGGGGCCAGAGCGGAGTCAACAGTTCCTCGAATTGTGTTACCGCCGCCGCGCCTGCCAGCTCCTGCGCTAATAATACAAACAGATGTGGGTCACACAACTGCATCCCACGGCCGGAATCCCGCGCCCATGCGTGAACCCCAGGCTCAAGTCCTGGGGCCCCAGGGTGAGGCCCTGTTTGTACAAAGCCCACCCCAGGCAGGCTAACAGCCCATAGGTCCCCAGGTGACAGAGGCTGACATCAAGGACTCAACAGGTGAGGTCTGTGCAATGATGCTAATTGTAACAAAAAATTTTAAATGATACAAATGAAATACAATACAAATGTCCTTTACAGCTGAGCCTTGAAACCTGATCTCTGGACTCTGCCCAGTGCTTCAGTGCTGAGAAGGGACCAGAAGGAGACTGAGGCCCCTTGCAGTCCCAAGAGAAATGGCCCCAAGAACCGTCCCCCCCCCACACCATGCTGTGCGAGCCTGGGGCTCACAGCCTGAATGCCATGGAAACAGTTGCTACCCGTGTGGCACTGCGGGAGGCTGTCTGACACACAGGGCCCAGGATGCCATCCTCAGCACCTGGGGCCCTGGGTTGGTGACCAGCAGGCAGCAAAGCCTGCCAGCGGTGACCCTGAGGCCTGTGGCCAGGGCAGCACTGGGGCAGCCCAGGGACAGAACTGGGTCTGTGTCCAGGCGTGGGTGGTGCCAACTGACACCAGCCTGAGCACTGGAGAACACATCCTCTTCCACCCATTAGGGGTGGGGAACACTTTGGACAGCCGTCAGAGGTCCCCTCGAGGATGAGCACTGTTTATGATTCTCATACTAGCCCCTGGTACAGCCATCCCCCCTCAGGGAGAGGAGAAGTGGTGGGCATTTTCAGCAGGACTCTGCTTCCCCCATGAGGCGGGGAAAAGGGAGAGGTCTCCCTCAGTGCTTATCTCACAGGAGCCTGGTTCACATATGCTATCCGTCCAGCTGGATGCTCGTCCTCATTGGAGCCTGTCAAGTTTGACAGAAGTGTCCCTGGTCCTGCATGTGGGTTTATGGCTACAAAGCTACCTACAGGGTGACGCTGGGCAGGGTATGCAAGGTGGAGAAAGCTGCAGAGGGACAGCCACAAGTGGCCGTCAGAAAGGTGTCTCAGTGCTGGGGGGTGCCCCTTTCTTCCTCAGCGGTGTTCATGGAGGCCCCACTGTGTCCAGGCCCCAGGACTGCAGCGCTGAACAAGTGGACAGGCCCCAGACAGGCCCTTGCCTCTTCAGGCTGTGAAGCCTTCTTCCAAGAACTGCACGAGCACCTTCAGTGAGAGGGCAGGGCAGGCCCAGGCTGTGGGAACACAGGCAGGCCTCCCAGAGGACAGTAGTGGAGCCACAGGGAGGCTCCGGGCAGAAGGAGCTGCGTCGGGCAGCGAGGTCAGAGTGTGAGGGCCTGCAGGTCACCTGGAGACAGGAAAAGGACCTCACTCCATCCTTCCGGCCTCCACTTCCCTTATCTGTAAAGAGATCGTCAGCATCCTCCTGCACTATTTGGGTGCCTGTCTCCTGGGCCCCTTCACTGTGTCCATCAGAAAAATGGCAACAGTCCATCCAGTTAAGGTAGTGGGAGTGCTGACCAGAGTCCCTGAAGGCCCTAAGCCTGACCTCTTGGCCTTACGAGTACCAGCTCCACTGGAGAAGTGTACCCCGTCCTCCCCAAGGAAAACTCCATCCCGAGTCAGAGCTACAGAAGGCAGCCAGGCCCTCCCTGGGACTTTGTTTAGACTAAATTAATGAAGGGAAAGGGGAGAATGGGGTAAACAGGGTGTGGCAGTCAGACTCCCCACTCTTCTCCCAAGCACAGCCCCAACTCCTGGGCTCTGGGAGGGCTGTTTGGCCATGGGGGTCCTAGAGATGCCCCTCGCACCCCTTGTCCTGTCTGGGCCCTGGACCTTTATTTCCTGCCCAAACAGCTGTGGGGCTATTGGAAGTAACAGGAAGCCTGGGCTCTGTTCCTGGTGAAACATCCCTCCATGAGGGTCGGGGGGACAGGGGTGACAGTGTGAATGCCACGGCCTAGCCCTCCAGCTTTGCCAACCTCTGTCCCCACTCCCCTGCCCGCCTCCCGCATGGCTGGCCTTACAGGGCTGTCTCTGAGGGCAGGGCCCAGCACCAAGAAAGGCTCAGACACGCTTGCTGAATGCTGAACAGAGTGGACAGGGGACAGCCAGGATTCGGGAGGCTCAGGGTCTCTTGTTCATTCATTCCCAGTGAAGTTCTTTCTCTGCCCAAGGCCACTGGGTGTACCTTGTGAGGTGACAATTATAGATTGGGGACCTGGCATACGCATTGTTCCCTGAATGCGGTCCCTCCTGTACTTACCCAGCTTCAGGACTTTGCCCACACTGTTCCCTCTAGCCAGAGGACTCACCCCACCCGAGGCTCTGCCCACACTCTCACCTCCTTCACAGATGCCAGTTTCTTTACCGAGAGTCCCCAGCCAGAGCTGCTCGCACCTCCATGCTCCCAGGTTTGTTGCCGTCACAGTCCTCTGCCCACTGGGGTCTGCTGAACGCCGGTTCACCTACCCGGCCGGTAGTTCCTCCAGGGCAGCCCGAGTCTCAGCCGCCTTTGTGGTTTCGGTGTCTGGAGTGGGATTTGACACCCAGTTAGTGCTCAGTTAATCTTTGACTGAGAATGAATAACAACACTTAAATAGATCTTCCTATGTACCGGACTATTTTTTTTAAGTGTGTATATGTGATAACTTTTACTCCTCAAAATAACCCAGTGAAGTAGGTGGTTTTATTACCTGCAATTTGAAGATGAGGCCACTGAGACAGAGGGAGCTTAAGTGACACACCCAAGACCACCCAGCTAGTCCGTGGATCAGCCCAGGAGGCAGCTGGGCTGTGGGGTCCACACTGACACCCAACTGATCCACCACACTGCCTCTGGGGTGTGACTCCAGCTCAGGGAAGCCGCCCTGCATAGCAGGGTGGACGCCTTTATCATTGCCTGGAGAGAGAGTGCATGGCTCATAAGGGCAGCCCGGCCCCAGCTCCAGCCCCTCAGATTAAGTCCATTTCCTTAGTGTGGTCTTTCCCCCCTTTCCCACCCTTCTGAACTCAGGACTCCTGACATTCTACTTGGCATGAGTGGGTTTGATCCCCTCGAGGACAGCAAATGTTTTCAGAATGATTGCTCTGCCACATAGACCCCAAAGATATGCACAGCTTCATGGAGACCCTTGGGCATCACCTTCCCTATCCCAGACCTCAGTTTCCTGCTCTGGGAAATGCGCAGACTTGCTCAAATCACATGGTGTGACCTTTGGTAAGGATTCTGAGCTGCTCCAGAGCCGACACCGTGTCAAGTCTATTTACCCGAATCTGTCTGTGCGCCTGCCCTCAACAACCAGGTGACCCTGCCCAGGGAACTCGGGGCAGGGATGAGGTTACAGTCAGGCTGGGGTGTGTGTTCCTTGCCCCTTGGAGCAGTTCCTTTCTCGAGACCTGGGGGCAGCCTGGGACAAGGAGATAAGCTGGCTGATCCCAGGAGCCTGGATGGACTAGGCGCTTGTTTTGCCACCTGACAGTGGGTGGGGACGCTTGTCAAAGGCTCCTTTTTGCAGCAAACAGTCGACGGCGTCTGTCCCACCCCTTTTGGCTCACGGAGCCACACAGCCGAGGGCAGGGGGTTCGGGTGGGTTAATGGGGGCGGCTGGCAACGCCCCTGCCAAGTGCAGCCAACAAGTGGCAGCTCGCAGACCAGGCTGGGCAGGCTGCAGTGACCCGGGTGGGGGCAGCCAATGAGCTCCCGGGCTGCAGTGGCACCACCGGGCAGCCTGCCTGTCTTTGGTTGGAGCGGCAGCAGGAGGGGCCTGGGGCCACCAGTCAGGGCTGCTGTGCCCTGTCTCTGGGAGGCCCGGGCAGATCTGCTGCTCCATTCACGTAAAGCCCTACTTGGGCTGCCATATTTCGAGCTTCTCCAGCCCTCTGGGGGAGGAGGGTGGCTGGGAAGGCTGTGCAGCCAGAGACGGAAAGAAACTTGGAGAACTTTTCCCTTGCCCTGGGCCAGGGTGGGCTCGAGCTCCGGGCTGGGGAGAAGGGAAATCTGCTGGGCTCACAGCAGGCCTGATGGAATCAGAGGGATGGAAGGGAGGGAGCAGGACCAAGGGGAGGCAGGGGCTGTGATCGTGGCCCGGGCTGCCCACCCTGGACTGGCGTCAGGGACCCCAGGGCCCTGGCCTAATTGAGCCTCTTACCCTTTGCGGGGATGGAGTCAGCCCTGGAACAACACTTGTGACTGAAGCGGCTGTCAGCTGGGGCGAGGGGACATTCAGGCTTGCCACCAAAACTCCCGGTGGTATGGGCTGGAGTCAGCAGCAACAGGTGCTTATGTCCTGCTCCCCACGCAGCTCAACCCCCTTGCTCAACACAGACCCACCAAGGCCAAACAATCACATAATAAACATATATTTATAGATATACAATTTCAGAATTCTATTTCAAGAAATACAGCTTCTCAGTGGATCCATTAGGATCTATGTTCTTATTGCACATGGCTCAGCCCATCTAGGGACATCTACTGAGACCAGAGGGTTGGGGTGGTGGGAGCCGAGCACCAGGGCCACCACGGGCAGGGCGCTCTCACCCACATCCAGTTCTGAGCATCTCTTTGGGCGGGCGGGGGGGGGGGGGGGGGGGGGGAAGGGCGCTTCATCACAGGGCAGGACCTTGTTTAAAAACCGTATTTGACATTTCTCCTCAACCAAGCTCCTTTTCCCAGCAAGAATCCTATTTGTTGGGGGACTTTTATAAAAAGAGCGAAGAAAAGCTCTGGGAGGGTAGTGATCCCCTCCTGGCTGGCAGCTTGGGGTAGTAAGGCTTTGGAGGATGGCAGGCTCAATGACACACCCACCACCAGAGGAAAATTTGGGAAAAACGGTAATTCCAAAAGGCCCAGTATAAACTGTGGGAATAAATAAAACCTCCCTCCCTTGCCCTGGCAGCAACTGCTGTTTGGAGAAAAATCCTCATTTGAGGGTGACCATAAGAAAACCCTTCTGGTTCAGGTGCATCCTTTATCCAACGTGCAAGAGAAGGCCGGGTGGCATCATGTCCACGGAGGGTAGAGACAGAGGCGCCCACGGTCATGGACTTTCTTCAGGAGTCGGCTTCTGCCCCAGCGTCCTGGGCCCCACGTGGTTGACTCTGGGAGGAAAAGCCTTCTGGAGTCCTTGGTACATGGCTTAGGAAAAACCAGTAGCAACAATGGGGCTGTGCCCTGGGGCACCTATAAGGCAAAACTCACATAGGGACTAAGCGGGGAGGTGGTCAGGCAGAACCTGGCTCCCCTCTCCAACACTGCTGCTCTCAGTGGCAGTGGGGGCAGGGGGGTCCCGGGCACCAGGACAAAACAAAGCGCCCACCTGAGCTGGCCAAACTTGCGGTGAGTGGTCTCATCCCCACAGGCCATCTGGGGCCTCTACCATGACTCAATACTGACCTGGCATCTGGCCCCAGGAGTCCTTTCTTCCCCCGCAGCCTGCTCCCCTCCAGTTTAACCATACAGCTGGCAACCTTCCAAGTTCTCTGTAGATTTATGCTATCATGATTACTGCTGCCATCAAAAACAGGCTGGGGTTGAGGGGAACGTTACAAGCTGTGGCCCAACTTTCCTCATACTGTCAGCTACGGCTAATGTCTAGCCTTTGAAGGACCAGGCTGCCTTCCCCAAACAGGCTTTGTTTTCTAAAACAGGGAAGAAATCAACTCAACAACCAAATCCCTGCATAGTTTAAAAAGTAGACTATATCTCTATATATCTCTATATCTTTATATGTGTTATTTACATATAAATAGATACATACATATACACGCATCTATAAATTACATTCTACAGAGTTCTCTTTCCTCCTCCTCTCTATCCTTGGCCAACACCTCTGATTACCTCCACTGAGGTGACTGGTGGTAGCTCCTGGGAGGGGGGAAGAAAGGCAGTTGGGTGCCCCCTCCCCAGCCCTTCCTACAGACATTTGCTGCAAGTTTTACATTCTACTTTTGTTGTCATGGTTTCTGTATCCTAGGAGAGAGCTGATGAGAAGCCTGAGCTTCTGCCAGCCCTGGGAGGAAGGGAAGCAGCCCCATGTCAGGTTTTCCTGTCTGTCCTAACAGCTTTCTGCAGTTACTGGGTGAGAGAGAGGGCAGTTGTGCAGCGTCCGGCCTCCAATTCCATTTTAATTTTTTTTCTTTTTTTGTCTTTCCTTAAATATACAGTTCGTCACCTTGGCTCAGTGCATGTCACCACAAATTCTCCAGGGATTTCATAGTCTGGGGAGGAGAGTGGTAACAGTTAGCTTGGCAGTTACGTGCCCCAGAGCCTCCAGCTCAGCCCACACTAACAAGCCAACTCCTCGGCCCTGTCCGGCGCCGCCCACCTCAGCCCCTGCCCCGTCGCCCTCCTGCAGCCTGTTTCTCTCTCCCAGAGGCACCAGCAAATGGCCTCTAAGCAGAGTCTGTAGCTGGATCCCTGCTGAGGGGACACAGGCAGAGGAGGGGGTGGGCAAGCAGACCAACACAAGAAAGAACCATTAGCGGCTCTGCCCACACTCCTCTGGACTTGGTCCAAGCTGTCCCCTCTGGCAAATGCTGGAAACAGAGCCTGCTATCCACACACAGGGGTAAAGGAGGCGGGGAGCCTGCGACCAGCACCTTTTTTCCCCACTCATTCTGTGCTAAGGGTTCTCTGTTCCTTCGACCCTGAACTCATGACCTTCTGTTCCCTTCTCTGACCACAGGTGAGAGGCCTGGGCGGGCCGGATGCCTGCGGCTTCCAGGTGCAGTGGCGTTAAGAGTGCCTCTGACCCCGCCAGACAAGGACCAGTCTGGGGGCACGCGCCCCTCCTGCTCCCAGCCTGTCGGCTCCCCCCCCGGGGCGCTGTCTGGCTGCCCAACCACCTTGTTCCATTTCCTCCTGCCTGGAAGGACAGGGGAAGAGGAAGGGCTCTCGGCCCACCCGTTCCCACGTGGTTCATCCTGGTGTCAGCAGGGGAGTGTCGGGGGGGCTTTCGGGGGCCCAGTAATACTCGGCAGCCTAAATCCCAGGGCACAGATAATAGTCTGCTGCACTTGGGAAAGGGCCATGGGGGACTGGATGGCTGAAGTAGACCAAGGAGGCATGAGTGGCCCTCAGCAGCAGCCTTGGGCACCCCACAGCTCCAGAGTCAGCAAGCGGGGTAGGGTGCTGTGGAGGAGCACTGAAGGGCACTAAAACTGCAGTTTCCCAGCACACCCCAGAGCTGTCCCAACTCTGCAGGCTGGAGGCCAGGCTGGGGACAGGGAAACCGTGCCACGATCACAGGCTCCCTCCCTCCCTCCTCCCACCCTCCTCTGCCTCATGACCAAGGCCAGAGCTGCCAGGAGTTGCAGGGCAGAGGAGGCCCTGGCTCATACTTGGACCTCGGTGGCAGGCGGGCCCAGGACTATCCATGCAGGGAGGCCTGCACCTCTGACAGTCGGTTACAGCTCGGGGTGCCCATCTTCTGTGCTTTGTGGTACATGTCTGCGTCGCCAAAGTAGCGGGCCCGGTACAGCAAGCCTTCCTCTGCAAAGCAATGTGGCAGGGTTAGGGCAACCTCTAAGGCTGCTACGATGCCTGCTTGGCCTTTTCGGGAGGGGAAAGGTAGTTACAGGCCCAGGAGCTGGGGCAGAGATGGCTTCCCTTAGGGTAGACCCTGGAGAAGGAAATATGGTCCCACCTTGGGAGCAGAATAGAGGCCCCTTTCTACAGAGTATAGGTGAGGCCAGCCAAAGAGAGAACCTGTTATTCTGGTGAGACGGCCCCAGGGTCCCACGGATAGATCCAGATGCCCAATCGGTGGGTGGGGAGGAGAAATGTTCCAATCTCTCTCTACATACTTACCTGCGGCAGCCAAACAACAGGCTGATTGCAGGGAAGCTGGAGGACATCTCCAGGTGGCTCCTGGCTCCCAGCCCCAGGGAAACACAGGGGTGGAGGCCGGTTCTTGGCTAGGACATGGCTGGCGCAGGGCAGTGCCAGGTGCTGCGCCCACAGATCACTGGGGGAGCAGGGCTTTTTCCTTCCCTGCTCTCAAGCTTTGTGCCCCCAAACACACACACACACACACACACACACACACTCTCTCTCTCTCTCTCTCTCTCTCTCTCTCTCTCTCACACACACACACACTCACTTTGCTGCTTCTCCTTCCAACAGTTGTTTCGGAGATTGGCAATATAATCGTCTTCCACATTCCGTTCAACCATTTTGAGGCTGGAGCCTGTGTACTCCTCAGAGAACGTGTCTGCCACGTAGTAAACGACGTTCAGGTGGTCAGTGACTCGCCTGTGGACGTGGCCCACCGACCTGGCCAGAAACAGACCAGGCACAAAGTGGGCTTGGGTCCCCAGGCCCAGGGCAGCTCTAGGGATGACTGGGGCTCCCAACAGGAGGCGCCACATAGGCCACAGGAGCAGCTGCTTCCTTCCCAAACTAGAGCAGGAACTCCACGCTACCCAAATGAGGGTGTGGAGAAAAGGCAGGGGGTCCCTCCCGTATGAGTGGCACAGACTATGGCAAGGCCTTCCTCAGGCTCTCTGCTTACCACACTGCTGCTGGGGCTTCTGTGGAGAAGCCCCTCTCTGGGAGGGCCTGGTCAGGTAAGGAGGGAACCCGGACACAGGCTCCACCTCTAACGAGCTGTGTGACCTGAGCTCCCTGTGCCTCCATTCCCTCATTCATCCCCTAAGCCAATCGTTGCTAAGGGCCTGCCTGTGTATCCAGGAGCTCCCAGTATAGAGTGAAGAGTCTTAGGAACAAAATGACAGGAAGGATTCCAAGGAGTTGTATCCTTCCATCTCTTGGATTCTATCTTCCAGCTCCAACTGCAGGCTCTGCAGGCTCAGGGAAGAGCCTCAACATGCAGACAGGAGTTAGTGCTCTGGTGAGAACAGCCCCTGTCTGCCCATTCTTGCCTCTCAGCTCTCGGGCTGCAGAGAAAAAGGCTGGCATCAGGCCACAGAGCGCCTGTGCCTGTTGGTGTGGGTCCAGTGGACCGACTCTGCTCCCTGCTGGCTGAGAGGGATCCTGCCAGGCTCCCAGGCAGAGCCAGGCCACTAGATGGGAGCAGAGGGCTTCCAGCAATAGAAGCTGAGCACCAGCTCTGTATCAGATCCTGGGCCAGGTGCTGGAAATAAATGAGGGGAGCTGACGCTTTAAAAGGGCAAATAACTTGCCCAAGTTCACTATCGGTGGTTGAGACCATATAGTCATTCAACAAATGTTGTCAAGCATTTCTAATGAGCCTGGCACTTTATGTGTATTACTCATTTATTTTTCATAAGCAGGTAGATGTTATTATTCTTCCCATTTTATAAATGGGGAAACCAGGGCTCAGAGAAGTTATGTAACTACTCCAGGGTCACACAGCTGCTTAGTTAGTAGAGGAGCTGGGATTCAAAGCCACCCTTGCTCTGACTCTAGAGCCCCTGTTCTTCCCATGGCCCCAGGGCCCCCAACCAGAATGGAAGAGAAGCGGTTCTTATTTCAAGGCTTGCAGGTAAGATCGGGAGAGTGTCATGCAGCCTGTGAAATCATATGCAAACCAGGTGTATGTGCAGTGTTCTAGGGAAAAGATCTGCAGGTTTCATTGCATTTTCTTAGGGGACTATGATCCTTACAAGATCAAGAACCTCAGCTTAACAGGGAAAGTCTGGATTCTAATCATCTTTCTGCATTTTGATCAAGAACCTGCAGGACGAGGATGGGAAGGAAGGCCCCTGATGGGGGCTGAGACTCAAAGGCCCCTGTCTACCCACCATCCCGGCCTCACCCCAGCTGCAGGTACTCACGGTCTCAGGCTGAGGCTGTAGGGTGGACTGGAAACCATGAGCTGGCTGAGAGCTGACACGAGGATCAGGATGAGGATGGGCATCAGCTGGACAAACACCCCCAGCCCACCCTGGAGGGAAGAGCCAACGGTCACCCAAGCTGGACCTGGGTGGGGGGCAACGCTGGCAGCAAACGCCTCCAGCTCCCCCAGCACAATGGAGTCCAGGTGGTGGCAGCCAGCTGCCATGCAGATAGGCCATGACGCCGCTCCCTCCCTTTCCCTCCCACGGGTCCCCAAAATACAGAAACTCCTCTACCTGCCAGTTTCCCCAGATAAAAACAAAGCAGCAACTGGGGTTAAATGCTGGGGTGGGAGGTGGGTACGCGTATTTACTTGTGAGAGAATACCAAAAAAAAAAGCGAACAAAAGTGTCTGCCTCCAGGGCTTCCCTGGTGGCGCAGTGGTTGAGAGTCTGCCTGCCGATGCAGGGGACACGGTTCGTGCCCCGGTCCGGGAAGATCCCACATACTGCGGAGCGGCTGGGCCCGTGAGCCATGGCCTCTGAGCCTGCGCTTCCGGAGCCTGTGCTCCGCAACGGGAGAGGCCACAACACTGAAAGGCTCGCGTACCGCAAAAAAAACAAAAAACAAACAAACAAAAAAAGTGTCTGCCACCAGACACTTGGGAGGCAGGGCTGGAGGGAGACCTTCCCTATATACACCCTTCTGAATTCTGAACCATATGACTATACTACCAATTTAAAAACTGCCAGTTAAGAAATTATAAATAAAAAAATTTGTTCACTGTGTGATAATCTGTGATTTAAAAAACTCTTCTGTGTGTTAAATACACACAAAATAAAAGTTTAAAACATGGATAAAAACAGAAGGCCACGTTATCAGAGCAAAAGAGAATCCCTCTGCCTGGCATAATTTTAAATATTCTGCAACTGTCCGCAGTATTTTAATCTTAGCTAACTGCTTTAATTTTAGTCAGCCAGCTGGTCTTATAATCTGTGGCATTCAAAATATGTTTGATGCACTGTCTTGTTATAGTTTTGTATACATTTTTTCTAATAAATTTTATTTATTTATTTATTGGCTGCGTTGGGTCTTCGTTGCTGGGCACAGGCTTTTCCTAGTTGTGGCGAGCAGGGGCTACTCTTTGTTGTTATTTATTTATTTATTTATTGGCTGCATTGGGTCTTTGTTGCTGGGCACGGGCTTTTTCTAGTTGTGGCGAGCAGGGGCTACTCTTTGTTGCGGTGCATAGGCTTCTCATTGCGGTGGCTTCTCTTGTTGCGGAGCACGGGCTCTAGGTGCGTGGGCTTCAGTAGTTGTGGCACACGGGCTCAGTAGTTGTGGCTCGCGGGCTCTAGAGCACAGGCTCAGTAATTGTGGCGCACGGGCTTAGTTGCCTTGTGGCATGTGGGATCTTCCTGGACCAGAGATTGAACCCGTGTCCCCTGCACTGGCAGGCAGACTCTTAACCACTGTACCACCAGGGAAGTCCCTGTATACATTTTTAAAGAGTGCTGAAAAGAAGCAAGAAGAGCCAGCCCTATGTTGTCATGCTTTCAATTCTATCATTAAGTTTAACTTTCCGTTGCTTGGAAAATGTCACTTAGAACTTAACCAAATTGACCGGGACTTCCCTGGTGGTGCAGTGGTTAAGAATCCGCCGTCAATGCAGGGAACATGGGTTCACACCCTGGTCCCGGAAGATCCCACATGCCGCAGAGCAGCTAAGCCCGTGCACCACAGCTACTGAGCCTGCGCTCTAGAGCTGGTGTGCCACAACTACTGAAGCCCCCGTACCTAGGGACCGTGCTCTGCAACAAGAGAAGCCAGCGCAATGAGAAGCCCGCACGCCGCAACGAAGAGTAGCCCCCGCTCGCAGCAACTAGAGAAAGCCTGTGCACAGCAACAAAGACCCAATGCAGCCCAAAATGAATAAAATTAAATCTTAAAAAAAGGAAAAAACCCCAAAAGAACAAATGGACCTCACAAAGGCCATTCACACTGGAACCTGCCTGCAGGTAGAGAAATTTCTGCATTACGTTCCCCAGCAGAGGCCATGAAACCCCCACTCTGGCCGTGGGTGCTGGGCAGTATGGTTCCCTCTGGTGTCCCTCAGCAGGATGGCACGGGGGGGCCAAGATGGCTTCCTGGCTTAAGTTCTGGGGGCACTGCTGCCGCAGAGTGTCAGCGAGGGGTATCACTCCCCAGCCCAGGGCCCATCCCCTCGGGTGTCACCGGGCACCCTCCCCATCCCCTCCCCAGCGCTCTCCTCACTCACATCACCCTGGTTCTCCCTGCGGTCCTGCCTTTGATGGTACGTGTAGCGCATGCGGCCGTTGCTATAGACATGGACGTTACCTGGAGGGTCAGAGGGACTGAGTCAGGAGTGAGGCTGCTGGGAACGGGAGAGGCTGGCATCCAGTCTCCCACCATCACCACCAGAGAGGCCTGGCTGTGGGGAGAGCGGGGGGACTTACTAGATGGGAAGCCACCTCCAAAGAACATGTTGAAGAGGTCTTCAGGGGAGATGTCAGCTTCAAAGCCGCGGTGGAAGTCCCCGTGCCCATGGCCGTGCCGGGCTGCCTGGCTCTTGTCATCGCCGAACTGGTCATACTGCTTCCTTTTCTCTGGGTTGCTAAGTACTGCGTATGCTGTGCCAATGGCTAGAAAGGAGGTAGAAAGGTCAGGCCCGAGGATGCTGGGGGTGCGGCTGGAGGCGCCCGTGGCAGCCAAGCACTCACTTCCTTCAGGTACTCAAGTGCTGCTCTAGGAAGCAGGAGTCCTAGGGGCCAGCGGGAAGTCTGGCTGTTGAGCAAGAGGGGGCGGGTGCGGGACATGCAGGAATACCTCTACGTGAATGCGGGCAGCCTGGGCCGGGTGGAGGATTAATTGTCAGGCTCCTTGCTCTCCACCTCGCGATGATGGTCCGATTTTTTCTACGCGCCAGGCCCTTTATGGGCATTATCTTTCTTACTCCTAACAGCCCATCTCCATTTTACCAATGAGAAAACTGAGGCTCAGAGAGGTGTAGTGTCAGCTCACGCAGGTCTGATGCTGCAGAGCCAGGAATCAAACCCAGGTGTGTCTTGCTTCAAGTCGGCTCTCTGACTTTATGAAAACCACCAAAACGCCCCCACCTCATCACTCTCTCTTGGGGTGTCCAGTGGGATGGGGCACCCCCTTTCTGGAGGGTATGTAATCTTGAAGTCATAGCACGACATGAGGGCTGCACAAACATGTGGTGTGCTGCTGTAAACTGGAGAGCAGCAGGAACTCCCAGGAGGGGCCACGTCCCCCGGCTCCCCACTGCTGGCGGTGTGGCAGGGCGAGCCCTGTCTTCCCTGGGGTCCAGGTCCCAGCTGCTCTTCCTTGGCCCAGCCCAGGGGCCTCCCCATTAGAGCCCCCGAGGTGGGAGGCCTGTGCCCCGAAGGCCCCAGCTCCGAGCCCTCCTTCGTCTCTTGCTCCTTCGCCAGCGGCCCACTCTCTCAAAGGAGGAGGTCAAAGCTGCATCTCTTCACAACCTGCAACCCCTGAGAATAAGGAGAATGTTCCTCCTCTTCCCATTGTGACAGGCCCCGAGGCCAGGTGTGGTCTCTCAGTGCCTGTAGTGCAGGGCTGCAGGCAGAGGTCAGGGCTGGAGAAACATTAACCACAGCTACCCTGCCTCCCCAGTCCCATTCTCCTTCTTCCCCTGGGGCTGGCGGACCAGCAGTGGGGGAAGATGCCTGCAGACTGCCTCACTGGGGACCAACCCCAAGCAGCCTGCAATGGAGCACCTGGGGCAGCGCTGTGAGACGGCACGCTGGGTCTTGGGGTCTGCTCTGCCACAGACTCCCCATCTGGCTGTGGTCCCGGCCCCCATACTGCACATCACCCTGCTTGGGCCAGACAGGGCTAGTCACCACGCCATCGCCCAGAGGGAGTGAGCCTAAGATCCTGAAGGTCCCACGGAGGACAAGGTGGGTGTGAGAGAAGAGATGTCTGTGGAACTGCAGCGCCCAGCAACTCAGTGCTGGCACAGAGCCCACACATGTGCCTGATTTGTTCAGTGAAAATATAAATGATTAAAGGGCAGCTTATCATTTCAGCCAGAACTGAAGCACCCACCCCAGAACCAACAGGCCCTGAGGCCAGAGAGACTTTCACGTCCCCCCAGGGCAGGCCCTAGGCTGTGTGTGGTGTGAGAGGGAGGGTGTGTGTGTGTAAAGAGGCCGGGGTGGGTTGGCCATGGCTGCTGGTGCTGAGGAGGCCACCAAGCTCTGACTCAGGGCCACCTAGTTTCTCAGCACAGGGAAACTATTACCAAGATCCCAGGATGAGGACGTGAACACGGGTGAGTCAGGAGGCCTGCTTCTGCCCCTCAATCACCATGTGACCTTGGAGAAGACACCTGGCCTCTCTTGCCTCAGCTCCCGGCTTGTAACACCCGGGGATTGAGGGGCAACGAGAGGGAGGAGCGGCGCCATCTGTGCTCTGACAGACCATGTGGCTGGAGGCGGCTACTAGGACCTTCTTCCCAGGAAGCAGCTCCTGAGCTGGGAGGACCTGAGCCACTTCCCAAGGCCATTTCCTGGAAAAGTCCCTTCTCCCTCCCTCCCTCCCTCCCTCCCTCCCTCCTTCCCTCCCTCCCTCCCTCCTTCCCTCCCTCCCCCCTTTCCTCCCTCCCTCCGTCCTTCCCTCCTTCCCTCCCTCCCCCCTCCTTCGCCTCCCTCCCTCCCTCCCTCCCTCCTCCCCCCTCCCTTCCCCCACCTCCCTCCTTCCCTACCTCCCTCCCAAGGACAGGCGATCAGAACACCCAAACACTAGGGAACCAGGGCCGGCTCACCTTTGAAAGCTTCAGTGGCGCCAGGCGCGCGGTTCTTGTCAGGGTGGAACTTGAGGGCCAGTCTGCGGTAGGCCTTCTTCAGGTCCTCATCTGAGGCCCCTCTGCTCACCCCCAGGATCTCGTAGTAATCTTTACATTGCTTGACCCTAGAGAAGGGAGTGGAGCTTGGTGGGGGACCTCTACGTGGAGAAACACGTAGGGGAGGTGTGGCAGGCGAGGAAAGAGCAGTGTGGGTGCACAGCTCTGAGCAGGCTTGGGGACCAGCAGGACAGGCCCAGTAGAGACAGCAAGAATACACTCAGGATTTAAGAGGGGACAGTCGCTGTTTTTGCCAGGCCAGGAACCATTTCCCTGAGCTAACAGCACCCTCACTGCAGGCAACCACAGGACTGTCAGTGTCCGTCCATCAGGGGCTTCTGCCCAAGGGCAGGTGTGTTCCAGGCTCTGCCAGCTCTACTCTCCTGGCTATCCGAGTCTGAGGGGGTAACAGAGAGGCCAGACACGGTAGGTGTCTGTTCACCCCATCTCAGGGCCCTGAAGAGACGCTGTTTCTCTTCCACTAATTCTTATTCCTGGGCTCCCTGGAGAACCCCTGACTCTTGGCCCACAATCAGTTTCTATTGCTTATAACCCATGGGCTTGTCTGGTCAAAATCCTGTCTGGTCAGAAAGATGTAAAATTGGCAAATGCTTTTATGGCAAACTATAGTCACGCTGGGTCACACAGAGGCTGAACCCCAGGCCTGAAGCCTGCCAATGTCTTCAGTAGCAGCCAGGACCATGTGGGAATGACTGAAGAGGGATTCCCGAGGTTGGCTGGTAGGGAGGCCTCAGGAGAAATGGGAGGAGTAGCTACGCCTGAGAAGCCTTGGCTGGACTGTCTCAGCCTGGTATTGAGCTGCTCTGCGCAGGGTCGGCCCAAGCCTCGGAGGGATAACCGTCTCCTGTCTCCACTCTACCCAACACAGACTCTGATCTGAAAGGGCCTTTGTTGGGGGCAGGAGTGTGGGTTGTGGGAGTATCTGGAGGGGAGACCAGGCCTCATCTCTGACAAACAGGGCTGTGTAACGAGGCCCAAGACCTGCTGGCCAGTGGCAGAGGAAGCCGGCAGCGTCAGCATTTCCAGCCTCTGCTGTGGGTTGTCTTGGCGGGAGGAACAGTGGAGCCCTGAGGACGGCACTCCAGAGCCTTGTGGGAAACAAGGAGAGGGTCTGGTGAGCTCGACTTCTTGAACCGCCTCCAGCCTTAAGACCCTCCGAGGTGAAGTGGATGACAGGCTGCAGGAAGCCTTCTCTAGAGTTGAAAATGTCCCAACACACCAGGCTCTGGCCCCTGCCTGCCGCCCAGCCCTCTACCTTTTCACGGCCGCTACTTGTTCGGCAGTGTAGCCTTTGGTGCTCTCTCCTCCTCCGGCTTCACCGTTGGCTGAGGGGGTGCCGGCTCCACCTGCTTTCCTATGGGTCGCCTGGGTTGCCTCTGTGGGTTGTGGTTGGTCGCTGGCCGACTGTGGTTTCTGGTTGAGGGACTCGATCAGTGCTGTGCAAAAGCAAGGAAACTATTCAGGGCTCCTCCTCCAGCAAGGCCATGTGCAATGGCTGAGGGACTGCCTGGCCCTGGGAGATCCCGGGACCCCCACATCCCACCCAGTCTTTTTCCCAACGAAGCTCGCTCCTTCCCTGACTTGGGCCTGTGGAGGGCTAACAGGATAGTTGCCTGCTCTCTTAGGATCCACAGTTCTCAGGGTATAGATCTTTTTTTTTTTTTGCGGTACGCGGGCCTCTCACCGTTGTGGCCTCTCCCGTTGCGGAGCACAGGCTCCGGACGTGCAGGATCAGCGGCCATGGCTCACGGGCCCAGCTGCTCCGTGGTATGTGGGATCTTCCTGGACCAGGGCACGAACCCGTGTCCCCTGCATCAGCAGGCAGACTCTCAACCACCAGGGAAGCCCGGGTATAGATCATTTTTAAACTCAGGATAAAAATAAACCATTAACGCTTTAGGTTTTTAAAATCCCAAAGTAATGTGTTTAATAGCCACCTTCCATTGAGTGAGAAGATGGGCAAAGTACTCTGTAATGGGGATTCCACTTAGCAGGACCATCTGAGTCAGCTGGGATTGGTCGGAAGGCTTCCTGGAGAAGGCTTCCTCTCCCTTAGCCATGGAGAGGAATGGGGGGGCAGTGATTCTGCCCCAGAGGGCCAGGGGTGGTGTGAGACTCAGGACTAACATCTGCTGTGCTCACTGCTTGCTATTGCTCACCTTTTCCAAATGGCTGGCCACATCAAATGTCCTACTTCAATGTTCATAGTCTATACAGGGCCTTAGCTGTCACCCTGAGAGAGGGTCACAGTTATTCAAACCCAAGTCCTTGGTGCCTGCTGACTCAATGAGGAAAGGCCTATATCTCTGGCAGGAGTCCCCTGTGCCCATTTATTACAGGTACAAAACCAGCTCTGAGCCCCCTAGTCATGCCTGGGGTACAGCGCCCTGGGAAACCAGGCACCTGGACCACTGCAGGGACCCAGGACACCTCTGTGCAGAGGAAGGATGGCAGCACAGTCTGGATGGTGATCAGCTTCCTTCTCAAATGTGCCAGGTGCTTGTGGGGCTCCAGGCACCGTGCTGGGTGTCAGACACTCTCTACTGCGACGCATGTGGGTCTCACCCAAAGCCTGGAGCAGGGCTCACTGAGAGCAGAGCACTGGGGCTCAAGTGGACCACTGTGTCCTGAGCCACCGCTGTAAATTCACGTGTCCTCACTGAGTCAGCAGCTGGGAAATCCCAATACAGAGGCTGACAGGTGAGCCTGCCCTGCATGATGGGGTGCAGAGGCCCCTGTAGCAAAGCCTGAGAAGGCACTCAGAGAGGAGAGAGTGATGAGTGCTCACTGAGTCAGCAGGCCTGGACACGGTGCTCTGCATGTATTCACCCATTTAATCTTTTTTTTGTTTGTTTTTTGCAGTACACGGGCCTCTCACTGTTGTGGCCTCTCCCGTTGCGAAGCACAGGTTCCGGACGCGTGGGCTCAGCGGTCATGGGTCAGCAGTCATGGCTCACGGGCCCAGCCGCTCCGCGGCATGTGGGATCTTCCCAGACTGCGGCACGAACCCGTGTCCCCTGCATCGGCAGGCGGACTCTCAACCACTGCACCACCAGGTAAGCCCACACCCATTTAATCTTGATAGTGACTTTAGAGCTGGGTATTATTACTGCCATCCCTGTTGTAAGGGAGGAGCTGCATTTGATCACCTTGCCTGTGGCTATACAAGATGAGTAGCAGCACTTAAATTCCAGGATGTCCAGCTCCTGAAACGATGCTCTTGACTACGTTGCTATCCCAGAACACACGAGCCTGGCAGGGGGAGCCCCTTCCAGCACAGCTGTTCCAAGAGAGAAGTTCATTCACAAAGACCCAGGTTTCAAATCTCAGCTCAGCCACTTCCTAACACTGACCCTGGCTGATCTGTGAAACTGCTCTGAATCTCGCTTTCCTCACAGTAGATAAGGATGAAATGAGATGTGTATAAGCACCTGGCACAAAGACTGACATAGAGTAAAAGTTCGAAATGAGGGGCTGATAATACTGTGACCTGGGCTGATGAACAGGCTGGCCAGGGAGGTGAGGGGACCCAAGGTGTGGGCGCTGGGGAGCTGCAAGTCTTAGGAAGGCGAAGTCTCAGCACCCAGCTGGCTTTGGACCCAGTTGTAACCGTGAGACGTCAGGCCGTCCCAGGCTCCAGGTCTATGCCAGGCACCAAGGAAATGGCAAAGGAAGAAACCAACAGGTAAAGCGATGCTGATCAAGATGGCACTGAGGAAGGAGCTGGTTTGCTGGTTTCCTAGGGCTTTTAAAGAAGCTGTTTATTTCGATTTCTCTGGAAGCCCCAGTGGTCCAGGCTGATGCCCTAAGGACAACGTGACCAGCCATTCCGTTGCTGTAGATGCACAGGAGCAGCAGCCAGGAGATGGGATGGACTCTCTCCAGTACCTTTCAGGGAAGAGTCTGGAAGCTTTTTAGGCAGTTACACGGAATCAGCCCCTCTAATTTCCCTACACTGCAGAAAGAGAGCCCAAAGGGGAATGGATGTGCTCTGGGTCACACAGAACGTTCCTATTTGAGGTGGCAGTTCAAGATTTCTGGTTGTTAACAATTGTCTCTCTTGTGGCCTGGACATCCCCTCTGCTAGGCCCCGAATGTGACCGCCTCATCCTGTCTCACTGTTACATCCTTCATGGCACAGTGGCTGACAGGCAAAGTAACAAAAGAGTAGGAGACAGAATAGCTTAATGTGGCGATAGAGTTAGACAGACATGACTGGGTTCAAATCCTGACTCTGCCGCTTCCCAGTAAAGCTGGCAGACATTTAAAAAGAAGGGAAAAAAAAAAAAAAAAAAAAAGAAGGGAAATTGGTGGAAGAGACCAAAGCTGGGGTGGGAGCAGTAGCAGCTCAGGTAGATGTGAGAGCATTTCTACGGCCAAAGCTACTAGGGGAGGCCCCTCCTCAAACCCAGACTGGAGAGTCAGACTGCCCGCTTCAAACCTGGCCTGCCACTTGCTATCAGAGTCACCTTGGACAAGTTAACTTAGCTTCTCCATGTAAAACTATCTTCCTCAAGAAACTTGCAAGAGTAAATCAGTAAATGAGTGAATGCTTACAAAGAACTGAGCACAATGCCCAACAAACACTGTGTCATCTGTTACTGTAACTTCATCTCCAGGTGTCTCCATGTACCTGCAGTGCCCAAGCTAAGTGAGGAGAGGGAGGCTGGATTAGGGAAAGAGCCTGGGAGTGGGGCTGGACAGTCTGGGGCCTTTGCTAATTAGCCACATGGCCTTGTCAAGTTATCTAATTCCTCAGTGAAGACACAGTCCCTGCCCTCACAGAGTTGTTCAGGGGGGTTAGTAAGATTCTATGAAATAAGGTAAATGGAAGGACTGATCGCACAATGAGGGGTGCGCTCAGTCCTTCGACAGACAGCCCCACCCTGGACCTTGCCAGCCCTGGTACATCCCTCATTCCTGGACCCTGAATGCCAAACTCTCTCAGCTACCAATCCTCCCTTCTCCCGTGCGCTGGCCTTCCTGACTTAGCCTGGACCCCAGAGCCAGCCATTGCATAGAACCTTGGGCAGCCTTTGGCATGGACCTGGAGTCTGGGACGGCCTGACATCTCACGGTTACAACTAGGTCCAAAGCCTGCTGAGTGCTGAGACTTTACCTTCCGAAGCCCTGAGTTCCCCAGTGCCCCACCTTGGGATCCCTTACCTCCCTGGCCAGCCTGCTCCCGTGGCTGGCCAGTTCATCAGCCCAGATCACAGTATTACCAGCTACTCATTCTGAACTGTGTCAGTCTCTGTGCCAGGTGCTTCCACTGAATCTGAGGCAGCCGAGCTGTCCTCCATGGCTAACCCTCACTTTGTACGCTGGGAAAACTGAGGTCTGCAGATGTTCTCATCAGCTCCCTGGAAAACACAGTGCCTTCCATCATTGCCTGCAGTGAAGCCAAGGGCTACCAGGCTGCAGGGGCTGGATAGAAACTCTCAGAAAGGGACAGACTGGCCTCCTGCCCTGTGACTTCCCAGCTCAGGGCCCTGCTACACCTGTCCAGCCCTCGGTGCCTCCCCACCCCACCTCCTGTGGCAGAGTTTCAAGTCCCCTCACATCCTTTCACTGTGAGGTCCCCTGACCCTTTGAGGTTTCTCTGAGCCTCCTCTCACCCCAGCCCTCCGCCTGTCCTTCCACTTCTCCAAGACCAATCTTCCCCCATGCTATTGCCCCTCTCCCCTTCATTTCTCGACCTGCCCTTTTCCCACGTGGCCTCTGCAGCAACTGACAGTGCTGCTCACAGCCTCCCTGACACATGGCTCCGTGGCTCCCTGGCCACTGCCCTCTCCTGGGACTGCCTCTTCCTGCTGTTGCTCTAGCTCACTCTCCTGCTTCCTCTGTCTCTGCCTATTGCCTAAGGGCAGATGTGGCAATGGTTGTGCCTGCAGCAGCCTCTGCTACACGCTTCACACTTTCCCACAGTGACCTCAGCCAGGCACAACTCCAATGAGCTCCATCCAGCTGATGACAGCAGACTTTCACCTGGAATCGGGAGCCCTCTCCTGAGCTCCAAGCTGACAGCTTCTTTGGAACATCCCACAGGCACCTTGCACTCTGCCCATCTCTTCCCACCCATGTTCTTCAGCCTTGGTTTCTTCCTGGTCACACAGGCTTGAATTCTGAGTCCCTATTTCTCCTCAGCATCCTTCTCTCACAGAAGGCTCGGTACTTTTCCTCCAGTGACTTTATCCTGATCCATGCTGCCTTATCTCAGGCCCTCGTAACTCCTGACCCACACAAGGCAAGTGTCTCCCAACAGGTTTCTGCCTTGAGTCTCTCTTCCCACTCATTAACCCTTTATGCTGTTCTCTATTTTTTTTTTAAATAAATTTATTTATTTGTTTGTTTGTTTTTTATTTTTGGCTGTTGGGTCTTTGTTGCTCTGTGTGGGCTTTTCTAGTTGTGGTGAGCAGGGGCTACTCTTTGTTGCAGTAGGCGGGCATCTCACTGTCATGGCTTCTCTTGCTGCGGAGCACGTGCTCTAGGCACACGGGCTTCAGTAGTTGTGGCACGCAGGCTCAGGAGTTGTGGCTCGCGGGTTCTAGAGCACAGGCTCAGTAGTTGTGGTGCACGGCTTAGCTGCTCTGTGGCATGTGGGATCTTCCCGGAGCAGGGCTCGAACACGTGTCCCCTGCGTTGGCAGGCAGATTCTTAACCACTGCGCCACCAGGGAAGCCCCTATGCTGTTCTCTTTTTAAGAACAGTACCCTTATCTTCCTCCTGCTATCAAAAACTTCAGTAGTTTTTCCATTAACTACAGAAAAAAGTGAAAATATCCTGGCATGGCAGGAAAGAATTCCCACCATCTGGCTCCATCCTATTTTCCAACCATAGTCCTCTCTGCACTCAAATTACTACCGCCACAGCCTCCACATCTTGTTAAACTCAATCCCTTCCCCCACACCTCTTACAACTTGCAGCCTCCAGGTCTTTTTCCCCCGTATGCCCTTCTCAAGTCTCCTACCTTCCTCCAAAGTGCAGTTCAAATGCGGCCTCCCATCCTACTCCCTGAAGCCTTCCCTTGCTGTGATCTACAATTATTTTACGTCCCCGTCATGATACTGCTTATAGTGTATCCTCCACACCGCCCCCGGCCCCCATACTCCCCTCCACCTCAGCAGACTGAACTCATGGAGGGAAGGGACCGGATTTTTCACATCTATCTTTAAGTTCTCAGCATCTAACACTGTGCTTAATTTTTGTTTAATCACAGCTCTTGTTCTATGGTTTGCAATATTACGTTTTCTGTAACTCTGTCTCCTTCACTAGATTGGAAACTCCTTAAGGTGAACAATCACGTCTTACCAGTCTTGTTATTACCACTTAGCAACAAGCAGAGACTTTACAAATGAAAGAAAAGAAAGAAGTCTTTGCATTAAATGCATATCCGGAATGAGTTCAAACTTTAAACATCAAGTGTAGACAACTACCTAATATTTTTTAACCAAGCTTTCCCCATCTCAAGCCCAAATTACCCCCACATCCTTGTCAGCTCAGTGCAGGGCTGCAGATGGCACAAGGTGAAGTTCACAGAGAATCACGAGCCATATACTCTTTTTAGAATAACATGAATATGACAAATATGCAGCAGGTCGCTCTTCTGCCTGAGCAAATTCCAGTACTTGTGCCCCAGGAAGGACACCCATCCAAGCACCTGAACTGGACGAGGGGGCTTGCTGACAGAAGAGCTCCACAGGCCATGTTGTTACCATCCTTTCTTGGCTGCCTGTTTCTGAACCCTTGAAGTATCAGAGTCAGAACGTTGAGAGCTGGAAGCCCCCACTGCCCCATATAGAGGGCTCCCCTTTTACAGAGTGTGATTTCACAGAAAAGTTCCTTGAGCAGGTTACCTCAGGAGTCCTGGAAAATACAGACTGAAACTCTCTCTAAGGCAAACAGGCCAAAGATCAACCCGCAGAATCAGGAGGGAGAAAAATTCAGGCATTCCAGGCTGCCTCTTCCACCACTATTACCCTTTCTCAATTGCATAACGCAGGTAAGAAGGGTTGGAAGGCTGACTGCTGCTGTTCAGTTTCACTTCATTCCTTTACTAAACATGCAGAGAGTCACAGAACTTTCCAATTTCTAGCTGTGTAATCCGGGTAAGTCCCTGGCCTCTGAGGTATTTCCTCATCTATAGAACGAAGATAATGATCTTTGCTCTGCCTCCCTGATAGGGCAGGCTCAAGAGAGAAAATGCACTGAAAGAGCTCTCTAAACTGAAAAGCACTATGGGTATGATTGTTATTCACATTATCTGTGCCAACCCTCTAATTTTCCAGTTGAGGAAACCCAAGCTCAGAAAGATCACATGGTAGCAGTTAGGATGAGAACCCGGGTCTTCTGAGTACCTGCTACACGCCACTTTACTAAGTGGTTATTGCAGGCGCAAACTCTGTATGTTTAATGGACAACCTCTTTCTCCCCTCCAGCGTGTATGAAGAAAAACTCCAAAGAAGACTTAGGTTAAAGAAAAAAAGGGTTCCTGGGTAGAGGAAGGTGATCAGTAGTAGAGACAACCTCACTATTCCCTCTCTGGTTTGGAAACAGTCTAGGGCCGCTTAGCAGCCTGTGGCTGTCCAGCCGTCCGTATGGCCGGCCATTGATGGACTCTTGGGGGCGAGGGTGGGTGGGGGAGGGTAAGGCCATCGCTCTGAGTCTCGCAAGCGGGAGAACAGTCTCCAGGAGGGAGTGAAGAGCCCGGTCTCAGGACAGACGCTCCAAGGTGGTGTGTGGAATGTGAAAAAGGCAGGCTCTAGTTTGGGGAGGGTGGTCCCTGGCCCTCGCCCGGAGACGTGCGAGGGAGTGAAGATATGGAGATGCCTTTTCAGGCCGTCCGAAGGTCGGAAGTCCTCTTTCCCTCTATAGAACTCATTCTCTCCTTCAGAGGAGTTATCTTTATTTTCCTGAACTATAATATTTCTCAGGCCGGCAACTGGCCTTGGGCCACCGAAAGGCCCCTTGGGAAAAGTAGTTTCGGTTTCTCTTCCACGTAAGTTCCTTTCGCCCCGTCTGCCAGCGCCTCTCATTCTTGGGAACTCCAAATCTCAGAGCGTTCTGCAAGCACCTGGAAATCTGAAGTCGCTGTCGCCCCTGTCATCAGGTGTCCAGCATCCCGGAGAGGCGTGGGAGCCAAAGACTACACCTCCCGGCGGCCACCGCGCGTCTCAGTGCGCAGGCGTAGCCGCGCCTCGCCACCCCTCCCCCTCCTCCAACTGCTCCTGTCGGTCCGTTCCCGTATTCCCCCCATCAGTTCTAATGTCCCCTCCGTGTCTCCGGCACCTCACACTCACCGCGAACTCGCGGCGTCGGGTACAGCCGCTGCGCCTTCTCCAGGAAGCGGAGCGCCCGGTCAGGCTGGTTGCTCTGGATGGCCTTGAGGGCGATGCTAATACAGCGCTCGGCTTCATCCTTGTTGGATTCCATGGCGGAACCAGAGCGCGGAACCAGGGAGGGGGAGGCCGGGAGAGCGAAAGGCTGAGCCAGCACCCGGCGCGTCGCGGGGCAGGCGGTCGCAGGGTGATGACATAAACCCTCCGCCCCGCCTTTTCCGAGATTTGAGCGAGGGCGGAGGCGCTACCGTATGTCTTCTAAGAGGGGGACGTCAAAGTGAGGCGCTAAGGGTGCAAGACCACATTCCTGGAGTCCAAGGGGGCATATTCGGAGGTCTTAAAGTTTTGTATGCTTGCGCGTTCTTGGTAGTAACTCTATGCGTTTGAGACGAATGTCTCTTATTTATTCATTCAACAGATATTTATTGAGTACCCACTATTTGCCCGGCTAGGTATGCCGTAGGTGAACAAAACAAAGCCCCTGCCCTCATGGAGCTTACATTCTAGTGTGTGTAGTGGGGTGGGGAGACGTCCAATAAAGAGAGATATCCAAACAGTGATTGGCGCTTCCCTGGTGGCGCAGCGGTTGAGAGTCCGCCTGCCGATGCAAGGAACACGGCTTCATGGCCCGGTCCAGGAAAATCCCACATGCCATGGAGCGGCTAGGCCCGTGAGCCACGGCCGCTGAGCCTGCGCGTCCGGAGCCTGTGCTCTGCAACGGGAGAGGCTGCAACAGTGAGAAGCCCGCGTAACGCAAAAAAAAAAAAAAAAAAAAAAAAAAAATTAATAAATGCTATGAAGAGAAAAAGAAAAGATAAAGAAATAAAGGGACTGAGAGTGGATGGTGCTATTTTAAACAGCCTGATAGGAGAAATCTTCTCTCAGAAGCTGTCATTTTAATAGAAATCTGAATTCAGGAGAGAGAGAGAGAGAGAAAGCAGGTATTCCAGATGTGACTACCTGGAAGAAAGGTGGTCCAGGCAGAAGGAAGAGCAAATAGAAGGGCTCTGAAAGGGAAATTTTCTTGGTGAGTTATTACAGATCAACAGGAGCATGTAGGATTCCACTGTAGAGTGGAATCCAGTTCTGTCAGACTTTTATGCCTACCGATCAATCCAGTGAAAGCAGTCTTATCAACGTTACCAGTGACCCACTTCGGCAAATCCATCAGTCATTTCTCTCTCTTTAAAAAAAAACAACTTATTTTTGGCTGCGCTGGGTCTTAGTTGCGGCATGCTGGATCTTTAGTTGCAGCATGTGGGATCTAGTTCCCTGACCAGGGATCAAACCCTCTGCATTGGGAGTGAGGAGTCTTAACAACTGGACCACCAGGGAAGTCCCCATCAGTCATTTTTCAGTCCTTATGTGGCCTTCCCAGCGAGATTTGATAAGAGTTTTACTACAGGTGAGAGTTCGGGGGCTACTACTATAATCCGGGTGAGAATTAATAGTAATTTGGATAAAGGTGATGGTGGAGGTGGCAAGAAGTAGTCAAATTCTGGATATATTTTGAAGACAATCAAAATGATTTTGCCGATGGATTGGATGTGGGATGTGAGAGAAAGAAAGGAGTCAAGGATGATTCCAAGATTTTGCCCTGAGTAAGTGGAAGAACAGTTTCCATTTACCGAAGCTGGGGGAAGATTGTGAGAGGAGCAGTTTGGTAGGAGGAATATTAAATGTCTGATTTAGGGTGTGTTAAGTTCGTGATGCCTTTTGGAGTCAAGTGGAGATGTAGAGTAGGAATTTGTATGTAAGTAGGGTGTAAGGAAGAGGATGGGCCTGGAAATATAATTTTGGAAATTATCACTATATATAAATGACATTTAAATCTTCGAGGCTAGGTGGACAAAGAAATACAAATAGTATTTAAAGCCGTGGGACTAAATGCCCCAAGGAAGCAAGTGTAGGTAGGGAAGAGGAGAGGTCTGGTTACTGAGCCCTTTGCCAGTTTCATATTTAGAGGTCTGGAACAGGAGCATCCAGGAAGGGGGAATGAAGAAGCAGCTCGGCAAGGTAAGAAAATTACTTTCACTTAACAAATGTTTCAAGTGGGAGGGAGGGGCCAAACTCTGGTAAACCCTGTGGGAGGACAAGCACTTGTGAGGACTGAGAAATGACCAGTGGATTTTACAAGGTGGAGGTCGGTGGTGACCTTGACAGGACTGCTCTCAGCGGATGATAAGCAGTGAAAGCCTGACAGGAAGGAATTTCAGAGAGTGAGTGTAAGGAAGAAATGGATGGGGAATGTGAGGAAGACTGTGGGGAAGTTTTTGTTTTTTAAGATGGGATATATTATAGCATTCTGTGATAGGAATTATTTAATTGGGTGAGAAATTTTGGTAAAAGTAAAGAGAGGAGACAATTATAGGAATAGACAGAGGAGGTGGCATACCGGGCATGGTGATGGCATGGCTTTAGATAGTGGCATGGACAACTCATTGATTTTCAGGAGTGTGGCTAGGTATACTGTGGGCCAGCTGGCAGATCTGGAAGTGGGAACACAAGGAAGTTCTTTTCAGATAGCTTTTATTTGCTCAGTGTAGTAAGAAGCAAGGTCATGGCCTCCTTGGCTACAGGTTCACCCTTGGAAATTTCTTCACATCCAACCTTTCTTTCCATTCCCACTGTTCTCTTCCCAATGAAAACTCCAAGCTGGGCTGTAAAGAGTATCCTGGTGTGAAGAAATCAGCGTCTCCTTAATAAGACAGCCCTACGCTTAGAGAAAGTTAAGGTCTCCACAAATTGATCGGTCCTTCATATGTGTTAAAGGATAAACACTGGGGCACCTTTCAAATAGCCTCTCTGAGGTTTGTTGACCGGGACTGCTAGGTAGTCCCCTCTCTTGCTAAGTATCTCTTCCATCTCCTGAGTGTCACGAGGCACCCCCCTTGTCAGGCTGGCAACAGGCACATCACTTTGTGAGAAGGGTGCTCCTGTGTAAAAGGCCTGTAATTTGTTGTTAAGGAACTGGACTGTGATTGCTCAGCTACTGGCTTGTAAGCCCTCCTCTCCTTTCCCACAAGGTGTATCAATTTTGAGTCCATAGTCCATAATTTGGCTTGGTCGGCAGGGTCTGGAGAGGCGGCGGAGTGTGTGCGTGCATGGTAGGACCTCTTCCTGCCTCGTTTCACAGAACTGTTTCAATTCAGAAAGGCTGTGTTGTTTCAGAAGGGATTATAAATTCAGCCTGAATGCTGGTCTAACCAGCTTCTTCCATGTTATCACTCCCTACCTTTCTTAAAGATCTCAAACCGGGTGCCCTTTTTGTCCAGAGGCAATTTGACTTTCTGTGGTTCCTTCTCCGTCCAAAGGCCAGGAAGAGAGTCACATTCCTGCTCAGTTCATGTTAAACATTATGGCCCTTGGTCTATAGATGTTGTTTGAAAATGGAACTGGTATGCCAGGGGTGACCTGAAGTTACAGTTTCTCCTCGATAGGTCTTGAAATCAAGATGTCATGATGTTGATCTAAGGAAAAAATTAGAAATTTCTATCCTGACTAGCTGGAATCATGGCATGGGTGGGAGGATGAGGCCTAAAAAGAGAGATAACATCCTTAATTGCCTTCATAGAAATCCAGGTGAAGTCACTGGGAAAATGATTCTCCCAATGAATCTCAGCTTCTCCTCATTTTGCTCCTAGAGCTGAAAAAAACCTTGTGCTGTATTAGGTGACCACCAGCCTCCAGATTCCTCTCCTCCAGGGACACTAAGAATTCAGTCTGACCTTAACATGCTTTAAATCTCCTATGGTCCCCTCCCCATCACTCTTAAGATACATTTCACCCCCTTCTCCCACCCCCCATCCATCTGCCTGTCCTCCTTAATTATCTTTTACACCTGTCCAAATCTAACTAGTTCTTCAGGGCTCAGCTTAAACTCTATATCTCCTCTGTGGAGAGATGGAATAAATTTAACAGATGTCTACACTGAAAGCCAGGCACTGTGCAGAGTTTTAGGGATTCAGAGATGCACCGAGAATAAAGGACAGGACCCGACATCAGGGAGCTTTCAGTCTAGTAGGGGAGATATTAAAAGAATTAGAAGACAGTGTGGTAAGTACAACAGTGGGATTGAGTGTAAGCTTGAAGAGGCTCAGAAGAGGGAGCTGTTACTTGTGTGTGTAGAATTGGAAAGGTTTCCTGGGGGAGATGACATCTGAGCCTGGGTCTGAGGCTGAGAAAGGGCCAACTCCTCCAAGAGCTCTCCCTGCGTGAATTCCCATAGCACTTAGCTTGGCTCCTCCATGGACACCCACCTTCACCGCTCTGCACAGTTGGCGCCCTTTGCTTGTGAGTCTGTTTACATCCTGTCTCCAGCTAAACCAGGATGGAGATCTTGCCCTTATGCTCCCCACAGTCTGAGCACAAGGCCTGACACCGAATAGGGGCTCAATACATATTTGTTAAATGAATAGAATAAATGAATCCCAGAGACAGGTTTTTCTCTCTCCAAACACTTTATCCAGAGTTTTCCTGAGCTAGCCAGGGGGATAAATTCCTTCCTAAGGCTCCAGGAAGAATTACCAAGTCAGTGGAATGTCCCCCACTTCCTGTCCTTTGCTCTTTTGCTCGCTGACTCCGCAGTGTCCCCTGCTGCCTCCAAATGCCTATCCACCAAGGCCTTCCTTTCAAAGAGCTCCAGGCTCCAAAATCTCTCTCCAAAAAAACGACCCTTACTGATTAAACTATGGAACACAATGGAATACAGCTGTGGGAATGGTTGGGAATGAGGCTTTCCAATGTATACTTTTTTAATGTAAGTTTGATTTTGGAAACATGTGAATGTTCACCTATTTAAAAAAAAAAGAGAGAGAAACCTAAACCTCACATTGAAGATGATGAAAATTCACCCAAGAGTGTGAATGACTGATAGGTAATTGAATTTTCAATTTTAGCTTCAATAAATTATTTGTTGAATGAACACATGAAGATGTCTCCATAGCATCTCTGGATCTCCACTCCAGTCCCTTGCTCCCTATTTCTCCCTAAAGAGGGAGGAGACCTCACATCTAGGGAGGGCCAGAAGCTGGAGGATAAGGGCACAGGGCACTTGAAGTCCTTTCTCCCAAACATGTCTGTTTCAGGGACATCCCAAGTATGGGTCCTTTGATTCAAATTCCTTTCTCTTTGATGGTCTCTATTCCTGGCTTCTCTTGGGGAAGAGATGGAGCTGGTATTAGGACACTGATTCAGACCTCATGGGTTCATGGTTAGTTGGCCTTGAAATTGGGAGAACCCAGGTTTTTAGGAGATCCCCTAGACCTCTTTCCTGGGTCCAGACTCATATCTACCTACCTACTAGGTATTTCTACTGGGCTATCTCTCAGGCACCATATCAAAAAATTGCCTCATCATTCTCCACCCAAACCTGGTTCTCTCAGCCTCCCTACCCCCGAAGAGCACTCTCACACACCCAGTTACCCAAACAAATTTAGGTTTCATGCTGAATTCTTTCCTCTCCCTTACCATCCTCCAATTTATATGCCCCACGCTTACCCCTCAGGCGTGATCTGAACATCTTCCAAATCTCCAAATCTGTTAGCACCTCTCCAACTCTGCAGCCATTCCCCTAATCCAGGCTTCCAGCATCTGTTAACTGGATTATTATAGCAGTCTCCAACCTGGATCCCACTCCAATCCATCTGTAGCCTTGCAGGCAAAGTCATCATTCCAAAATGCAAAGCTCATTGTCATTTTCCTGCTTAAAACCCTTCAGTGGCTCCCAAGTGGCATTAAGATAGAAGTCCAAACTCCTTATTGGAGCTTACAGGATCCTATAGAACCTGGTCCTATTTTCTTTTTTTCTCCCTTATATAAAGCCATCTGGGTTTGGTACTTTTTGTTGTAAGCAGATTTTTAACTATTGATCCAATTTACTATAGCTATTGAATATTTTGTTTATAAATTTAAAAAATTATTTTTATTTTTTGGCTGTGTTGGGTCTTCGTTGCTGCGTGCGGGCTTTCTCTAGTTGCGGTGAGCGGGGGCTACTGTTCGTTGCGGTGCGCGGGTTTCTCACTGCGGTGGCTTCTCTTTGTTGTGCAGCACGGGTTCTAGGCGTGCGGGTTTCAATACTTGTGGGACTCGGGCTCTGTAGTTGTGGCTTATGGGCTCTAGAGCGCAGGCTCAGTAGTTGTGGCGCATGGGCTTAGTTGCTCTGTAGCATGTGGGATCCTCCCGGCTCGAACCCGTGTCCCCTGCATTGGCAGGCGGATTTTTAACCACTGCACCACCAGGGAAGTCCCTTTTTCCAACTTTTTGAGGCAGATGCTTAGCTTATTAACTGTCAGCCCATCTTCTGTAAATAAGTATGGAAGTTAAGATGTTTCTAAGTTTCCCTTTAGCTGTGTCCCACAAGTTTTCATATCTAGTATTTTCATTATCATATTCAGTTCCAAGCATTTAAAAATTTCCATCATGATTTTTTCTACAACCTATTAGTTATCTATAAGTGTGTTTCAAAATGCCCAACGGTATTTTTTGTCATCTTTTTTTGTGAATGACCGCCATCTTAATTCATCCTTGGGTAACAAAATCATTCCCCAATCTGTACTTACTGGATACACCCTAGAACTTCCGTTCCCAGAAACATGCTTTTTGGCCTTTGGACCTTTGTACATTCCGTACCTGCTGCCCGGACACTCCTCCTTCCCCCTTTGATAACTGCTACTCAACCCTCAGGTCTCAGTATTTTTAATAAAAAAAAATTCTCTGCAAGCCTGCCTTGAACTTCCAAATCTGGATTAGATAGCCTTCTGCTTTTCTAAGTGCTCTCACACAGCTTGTACTTAACCTTTTTGCTTTTCTGTTTTTCTCACTCTTAGATTCCTCCTGCAAACTCCTTGAAGACCTTGCTCAGTGCCTGGCCCACAGTAGGTGATCAGTAAAGAGTTGTAGAATGAATGGTGACTCTTACCCTGTCACTTGCTGGTAAAAATTCCCATTTTGGAGCCACAGAGAACAATACACGGCTGCTTCCCTCCCCTCAGATATCGTCATATCCATTGTGTCTCTCTTTGTGGTTATGGTTTATCTCAGGTTGTTCATCTCCCTCCACCCCATGCCACCCAGGTCCCTGGGAGGCCTATTCTCTGGAGCAGGACTGGGGCTAGGCTGGACTCCAGCAGCTGCCCCTCCCCTGCCAGTGACTCCTGGTGCTAAGCCTTCTTGCCAGCAGGTGGCACCTAAAGCCTGAAAGCTGAACCACTCTGTTCCACGTTCCTTTTCTGAGCTGCTTGTTGGGACACATAACCTGGCTTGGGCTGTGCTTGGGCTTGGAGAGGATGCTCTGGCCTGGGAACCTGACTCCGGGCTCCCCTGCTGCTGTCCTTTCTTCCTTGTCTAGCAGCAGTCACTGTCTGGCCTTTTCCTTTGTCTTAAGAGTCCTATTCAGTGCCTGTGCTCCAACCAGACATAAAACTAGGTGGGGCACTAAAAACTATGAAAATGATGATTTTTGTATATCATGTATGTTCTTATGCTCTTTCCTTAGTAACTCTCTCTCCACATTCTCCCTGCTTGTCCTCTTAGATCATCTAGGAAGCCCAGCTGAGCCCATCAAGGAAGCCTAGCAGCCTGGCTCCCCTCTTAGTTTCATTTCCTCTCCAAAGCTTAGAGGCTAGAACTGGGGAGTTATTTATTTTTTTAAGAAGTAAGAGAACAATAACAAAAGTAGACAACAGCTGTGGGTGTGTAGGAGTGTTACTGACTTGGGTCCTTGGACTCTTTAACCAACAGAAATTGATAAGAGGCCAGATGAGGAATTCAGGCAAGGTTTTACTGGGACTTGTGCTGCAGCACGAGGGAGCGACAAGTAGTAACAGGTGCCCTTGCTCGCTCTCCGTGGAAGGCAGGCTGGTTCCTTCAGTGGGGTGAGGACGGAGGCAGATCTGCAGATGGGGCCGGAGGAGTGGCTTAGGTGTTCTGCCTACCCTCTTGGTGGTGCCGTGTGCAGGGATCATGCACAGAACCCTGCTTTTGCTCCCAGTACCTAAGTGGCAGTCGGTTTGTGGCCTTTTATCTTATTGCTCATAATTGCCTGGATTGCGGCATGCATGCAGTTATTTTTAATTCCATTAGTTTCTTTGTACTCTGTTGCTGTGGAGATGTGTGTCCAGGTGCAAGCACTGCAGTAAAGGCCCCAGGTCCCAGCCTGTCTCAGGAGGAATTTATTGAGGCACTGCTAGTATCACTTTTACCTCGCCCGAGAAATATTTTAAAATTTGCTTTTGGTGGTGGACTCTTTCTTTGATTATGTCACTGCTTTGGGTCTGAACTTTGTGGGTGACAATCTCACAAAAATTACGTCAAGTTACAGCAGCATCGTTATGGGTGGGCAGGAGATCCTTGGGAGGCAAAGGAGGGGCCATTAATCTTGTCTGGAAGAGGATTAAGGAAGGGACAGTTTGATCTGAATCTTGAAGGCAGAAGGGAAGGTTATTCTGTCTAGGTATTAGAAACAATGGGAATAAAAAGAGAAGCACATTATCAGCCTTCTGTATTCCCAAATGCTCCCAGCCTTACCCCCAAACTCTGCCTACTAAAGTCCCCTCAGCCTGCTCACATGCTTCCTTGGTGAAAGCGCCAAATCCTAGCCACTAGATGACCAGGGAGCTCACATGCTTCCTTGGTCAAGGACTTCCTTGGGGCATCCTGGCCTCTTCTGGGTGACTTAGCTTGTACCTTTCACCTAAACATTTGCCCTGTTGTGCCAAAGTGTGGCCGTCCTGTCTTCTTGAGCACCTGGACCGCCTCTGCTTTCTCCGGCTCTCCTAGGAGCTAATGGAGTTCAGTTGGAATTCCACGTACTTGTCACAGGTGCTCTTGACCCTGGGTTTCAAGATGTTGCAGGTGAGATCCTTATCCTTTCCTGCTATGCTTTGGCTTTCAGCTTCAGTGAACCCAGGCCAGTTGGCAGGTCTCTCCTGGTGAGGGAGTGAATGCCCCACGGCGGCTGTGAAAGGGACTTCTCTTTCAGGCTGGAGAAATGAGGATTGGGGAAAAGAGTGATTTGGGGATTATGGGACAAATTTAAGACAAAGCTCACATTTTGCTGATGCCTCAGCCCTGGGGCAATGAGCAAGGCAAAGGCTACACTTGGGTGCCAGGAATACGTGCCACAAGAAAGGAAACAGTGGAAGACAGATGAGGTGCATGAGTGGGAAGCTCCTTTGAGAGATAATCTAATTGCTCCCAGAAAGGATGTTAGAAGTGAGGTTATTAAATTGCTCTGGAGAAATGCTGGGGTTAGTACTGTCCTTGTGGAGCCACAGGTGCAGACCTATGTCTCTGCTCTTCTCTGCCTGATAAACGCTCCCTACCAACTTCTAGGCCTTGCAGGAAGCACTGGGTTTTTGGTGTGGTGGTGCTATTACATTGGATGCGAGACCCTATCGTGCCAAGGAGCACTACCTGGAGGTTCTGGAGGTTGTAGGAATTCTGGAGAAGAGCTGAAGGAGAGGTTTCTGGACCTGGAAGAAACCTCTAAGCCCATTAAGCTCAACCCTGTCATTTTATAGTTGAGAAAACATGGGAAATTGCTTGCTTGCTCCAGGTCACACTGAGTTAGTGGCAGAGTTGAATCCACATAAAACACTGGTTGCTACGGTTCATTTCTTTTTTCTTTTTCTTGGCCGTGCTGCGCGGCTTCTGGGATTTTAGTTCCCCGACCAGGGACTGAACCCGGGCCCTCAGCGGTGAGAAGGCAGAGTCCTAACCACTGGACTGCCAGGGAATTCCCGGTTGCTATGGTTCTTAACACTTAGGTCCACCGTACCAGATGATGTCTCATATCCCCCACCACCCTGTCTTGGTTCCTTCTCGTGGGGCATGAGTAATCAAGGACTACATTGGACCTGGTAGCCTTGGTCCAGGATGAAATGCTATCCAAACCTTGCTGGAAAATGCCACCACTAACCTCCAAATGCCCGTTTTGTTTATGCTTAAAGTGCCTTCTCAACAGGAAGGACCAGGCTCTGGTGGAAAGAAAACAGGTCTGCTGCTAGGATCTCAAAGCCAGTGGAGAAGTGAAATGAAAAGGGCCCCAGAGGACCCTAAAATAAAGGAGACAAGAGCCTTTGGCGGTGGTTGGTGGGGCTTTACTGCAAACCGTTATAATTAAAGTGCTATTTTACAAGTGTTTAAGACAGGGCAGACAGGCTCTGAGCCAGGACTCAGCTTCAGAGGCACACGCCTGGAGGGGAAATGGCACTCGCAGGGGCCATGAGCTTAATCACTGCCGCTCATTTAATAAGCACAGTCGTGCTGGAGTCTCCTTACGGAGCCTGAGAGGAAAAGAAGGGAGTGGAGAGAGCCATGCAGCAGCTACTTTAAATTCCTAATCTTGCTCCATTCCCACTGTGCACACTGCCTCAGAGCCACCCCGGGGACTGACACAGATCCTTCCTCTGGCCCAGGCTTCCCACCAGCTCAGGGTGCCTGGGTCATCCTCGTTATCATTCATCACTGATTTCCTTTTTCTGCCAGAGGTTTTCCCAATTTGTAGCTTAAAAAACACCAGCAGGAGGAGAAGCAAGGAATGTTCTTGTTAATATAAATCCACACCAAGATGACTCAAGAAATGGGTGTTTCCCAGGGTTGGCAGGTACATGGATGGGTCCTGCATTCTTTGTCTGTAGGGTGCTTGAATGGGTAGTACTGTCGAACGTGCCAAAGGTCTGCGCTTTTAGGACCTGCTCATGTTTTTGAGGACCTCTAGGAGAATCACTGGTTTAGAACCAGGGCCTATCAGAACACTGGGAGAGGGGAAACTTGATGAGTCCTGAGATCATTCCCAGGAGGAGGGGAGCACTACTTCCGGAAGCAGCAGCGGGGAGGACTGTGCCAAGGCTCTGCCCAAGGGGCCAGGGTGCTTGGCCTGGAGGCGTGGCTCCTCGTGCAGTTCTGGGTTACTGTTTGGGCAAAGCGAAGTCCCAGGCAGTTTCCTGTGCACATTTCCACATGGCCTGCATGAGGCGGGTGAAGCCCATGTCTTTGGGCTTCTCCAGGCCTCTCATCAGCCGTTGCTTCATGATAGAAACAAATTCCTTATTGCTCAGCTCTCCGTTGCCTAGAAGAAGAGGCAAACACAACAGGGATAAGTGACAGCCTTGGAACAAAGACAATGAGACAATTCCATTGCTCACATCATGTAGGTCCCAAAGCCTAGCGCTCTCTCACAGCCAAACTCAATTCTCTTGGTTAAAAATGAACTGGTTTGTACTGTCCTTGATGTTTCCAATTGCAACTCAGTGATAGTTCCATGTAGTGTGACAGAAGTTGAATGAGAATATATATGTCAGGTCCTGTGCTAGGTGCTGAGAATAAAGAGATAAAAATGACTTTGTCCCTTGAAATACCATCAGGTTATGGGAGAGACAAGTACATTATTTCAATCGTATGGTAAATGTCATAATGGGGTAAACAGAGGATGCTATGGGGGCACAGAGGAAGACTATCTAACCCAGGCTGGGGAGGGTGCAAGTACAGGTCAGTAAAGGCTTCCTGGAGGTGACTCCTAAGTTGAATCCCAAAGGATGAGCAGGAAGTGGCCAAGCAGAGGGGAGTGAGACGGGGGAGGCATTCCAGTAGTGGTAGTAGCATAAGCAAAGGCACCTGTAGGAAGCAGCACAGCTGTTAGAGAACTACAAGGAGTTAGGTATTGCTGGACACACAAAGATAGGGGTATGGCCAGTAAACCAAAGAGGAAGGCAGGAGACAGGTCCTCAAGGATCTTGTATCCTTATGAAAGGGTTTGCACTTTATCTTCAGTGCAGGAAAGGACTGGGAGAGGGGAGTAAGATGTAGTTAGATTTCCATTTTGGGTAGATTTCTCTAGCTGGATGATGGTGATAGACTGGAGTGGCACAGATGGAGTGAGTATGGGAGCCAGTTAGGAGGCTGCTGCAATAGTCCGGGTAAGACATGATGAGGCTTTTCATGGTGAAAACTAAAATCAAAACCTGGCTTTGGGTTAAGCCCATTTTCTCATGGCTTCTCATTTGACCCTCTTCAGTGGCAGACTCTCAGGTCTAGAGGAGAACCTGGAGAGCATCTGGTCTGACCCAAGGTCACTTCTCAAGCCACATGGAATAGTAACCACTCCAAAAGTAGAGGACAGTTACCATTTGACTAGATGCTCAGGAGTAAATGTCTGCTGATTAAAAGAATCGCAGCCATTACTGGTGGTGACAGGAAGCTAGCAAACAGACCTCTGCTAATGATCAGTCTGGGAAGAAAGTGGTAAGAGGGAATAATTGGTTTACTTCTGTATAGAGTACCTGAAAATCTAAACGGGCCCATGTTTGCTGTCTGAAAAGAGCATGGGCAGCCTCAGGGATACCTCAGAGCAAGATTAAAACAAACAAAAAACAGGTAAAGCTAACCTATGGCACTAGAAGTTAGGGAAGTGGCCGCCCTCGGGGGTATACGTGACCGGAGGGCAGCAGCACCAGGCAGCTCTGCGGTCCTGGTGATGTGCTGCTTCAGGATGATGCATGGGTGTGTTCAGTTTTTAAAATTTATCAAGCTCCACACTTATGGTATTTGCATGTTTTTGTATGTATATTATACTTTAACTTAAAAAGTAGCCTGGCTGGGCTGAAAGTGAATCAGTAATATGGCTTATTAAGAATGCAATTAAAAGAACGAAAAGGTCTAAATAGGATTCTTAATATTTTGTATAAAAAGAAGCTTAAGATGAAAAAACCTGAAGTTATTTTTATTTATTTATTTTTTGGTGATGGGGCTTGCAGGATCTTAGCTCCCCGACGGAGGATCAAACCTGTACCCTCGGGCAGTAAAAACGCAGAGTCCACTGGACCACCAGGGAATTCCCCAAACCTGAGGTTATTTCATTCAAACTACTCTGGGATTTGCTTCTTACTTCCCTAAGGCCAGGGCTGACCAGTCTGAACGGCCTTTGTTACCTGTGAATTGGATATATGACTGAATGTCATTTGTGTGCATGTGTGATCTGTGACTGCAACTCTAAATTCTGTGACAAACAAGTCTGTTTGAAAATTGGAATTCTCTGTCCCCTGGCATTTTGACCTAACATCTTGCACTGGTAGAAATGACAATGGCTTTCGAATTTAATATCTACTTCCCTTTTCTGTAGATTAAGAAAATGAACCCTGGGCTTCCCTGGTGGGTTCGAGCCCTGGCCCGGGAAGATCCCACATGCCATGGAGCAACTAAGCCAGTGAGCCACAACTACTGAATCCCGTGTGCCACAACTACTGAAGCCCACGCACCTAGAGCCCATGCTCTGCAACAAGAGAAGCCACCACAATTAGAAGCCTGCGCACGGCAATGAAGAGTAGCCCCCACTCGCCGCAACTAGAGAAAGCCCGTGAGCAGCAGAAAACCCAATGCAGCCAAAAAAAGAAATTTAAAAAATTAAAAAAAAACAAAAACAAAAAAACCCCAAAACAAATAAACAAAAAGAAAATAAACCCCATTTACCACCAAAAGCAAAGGTAACAAAAGCAAAAATAAACAAGTGGAATTATATCAAACTAAAAAGCTTCTGCACAGCAAAGGAAACCATCAACAAAATGAAAAGGCAATCTACTATACAGGAGAAGATATCTGCAAATCATATACTGATAAGGGGTTAAAATGCAAAATATACAGAGAACTCATGCAACTCAACAGCAAAAAACCAAACAACCTGATTAAAAAATGTGCAGAGGACCTGAACAGATGCTTCCCAAAGAAGACATACAAATGGCCAATAGACACGTGAAAAGATGCTCAACATCACTAATCATCAGGGAAATGCAAATCAAAGCCACAATGAGATACCACCTCACACCTGTCAGAATGGCTGTTAACAACAACAACAACAACAAATAACAAGTGTTGGCCAGGATGTGGAGAAAAGGGAACCCTGTGTACTGTTGGAGAGAATGTAAATTGGTGCAGCCACTATGGGAAACAGTATGGAAGTTCCTCAAAAAATTAAAAATAAAACTACCATATGATCCAAATTCCACTTCTGGGTATTTATCTGAAAGAAACAAAAACACTAACTTGAAAAGATATATGCACCCCTATGTTCACTGCAGCATTATTTATAAGAGCTAAGACACAGAAACAACCTAAGTGTCCATGGACAGATGAATGGATGAAGAAAATGTGATATGTGTGTGTGTGTATATATATTGTGTGTACGATGGAATATTATTCAGCCATAAAAAGGAAACTTTGCCATTTTTGACAACATGGATGGACCTTGAGGCCATTATGCTGACATAAATCAGAGAAAGACAAATACTGTATGATCTCAGTTATATGTGGAATCTAAAACGAACAAACAAAAATAATTGAGTTCATAGATATATAGAACAGATTAGAGGTTGCTAGAGGTGGGGGATGGAGGTGGATGAATTCTGGTGCAGGGCTTCAAAAGGTACAAACTTCCAGTTATAAGTAAGTCATGGGGATATAATGTACAGCATGAAGACTATATTTAAAAACACTGTATTGCATATTTGCAAGTTGCTAAGAGAGTAGATCTTAAAAATTCTCATTATAAGAAAAAAATTTGTAACATGTATGGTGACTAGACTTATTATGGTGATCATTTTGCAATATACACAAATATTGAATCATTATGTTGTACACCTGAAACTAATATGTTATATGTCAATTAAAAAATTAGGTCCCAGAGATAAAATGATTTTTTAAAGATAATAGAAGTAGATATTGATAGAGCCTCCTTCTAAAAGGCTGGAAAATCAAACATTTCCCAGGACTTCCCAGGAGAAGAGGGGAACTGTGATGCTGGTTGCCATTACTCCCATATTCACTTCACAAACCAGCTCTTGGATACTGGCTTCAAAAATTATAAAAATGTTCTTTGGAAAAAAACTCAAACTACCTAAAAGTGATTAGAGTAAAAACAAAACCTGGGGAGAGTTACTCTCTCTGCAGCAGTGCTGTCCATTAGAACTCTCTGCGATGAGGGAAACGTTTTTATCTGTGCTATTTTCAATACAGGAGCCACCAAGCCACGTGTGATACTGGAAGAAGTGAGTTTTAAATTGTATTCAATTTTAATTAATTTAAATTTAAATAACCACATGTAACTGTGGTATCATATTGGACAGGGCAGCTCTAGAGAATAATCACCCTTCCCTGTGGATGAGGACTCTCCTTGTCCTCGCTCTGGGGCTTCCTTTCACTCAGACCTTGGTTGTGGGTTCAGGGGGGAGATTTAAATAACTCAAGTTCAACTTAAAAAGTTAATGAGGACTTCCCTGGTGGTGCAGTGGTTGGGAATCCACCTTCCAATGTAGGGGACGTGGGTTCGATCTCTGTTCAGGGAACTAGATCCCACATGCATGCCACAGCTAAGAGTTTGCACGCCACAACTAAGTAACCCACCTGCCGCAACTAAGACCTGGCACAACTAAAAATAAAAAACAAACAAAAAGTTAATGAACACCTGTTATGTGCAAAGTACTGTCTGAGGTCCTATTTGCAGGGGAGGGGGGATCCGAAGGTGGATAGGACTTGTAACTACCCATAAAAAGCTCACAATTTGGTAGGGACATTAAGTCACATACACAGAGATGGAGTGTAACATGTAGCGATGCGGACAAATTGAACCAAGTTAAGGAATAAAAAAAACAGAGTGATTCATTATGCTGGGATTAAAAGGGAAGGTTTCACACATGCAGGAGCTTTTGATCTGTTCTTGAATTCTGTGAGCCTAGCTTCCTGGAAGAAGATGAACAGTGAATCCTGGCTGTGAGACAGGGAATGGAGGTCATATAGTACAGAGGGGGGCAGTGCACTTTTGGTTCAAATCCTGTACTTGCTATCTAATACTACTTTTGTGCTCCTGGGAAAACTCCTTTACCTCTCTGAGTTGCAGCTTCCTTATCTGTAAAATGTGGTTAATAACTACTCCTGTGTCAGAGGATTAAATGAGCAGCTTGCACAGTGTATCCGGCTCATAGTAAGCAATGAAAAAACTGTGAGATAACTAATAAGGACCTACTGTATAGCACAGGGGACTCTACTCAGTACTCTATAATGGTCTATATGAGAGAAGAATCTAAAAAAGGGTGGATAGATGTGTATGTATAACTGATTCACTTTGCTGCATGCCTGAAACTAATACAACACTGTAAATCAACTATACTCCAATAAAAATAAAGTAAAAATAAATTTAAGGCAAAAAAAAAAAGAGAGAGAGAAAAAACTGTGAGCCTCCATTGTTAATATTATCATCATTGTATCAGCCAACATAGCTGAGAAATAAGGCCAGAGCAGAACCAGGATCTCTTAAATGGGCTAAATAAACTGCAGAGTGCTCACAGACACAACAGACCTTGGTGTGCAGCTGGAATGCTATGATGGGTTGTAAATGACTGAAATGTGCCCTGGGTGGTGGAGTGACCAGTACCATCTGATTCCTAGAGACATTCAAATATTCAAGTGTTCCTATCTACTAAGCAGTAAGCTGGGTCTAATTTTTTTTTTTTTTGGCCGTGTCACACGGCATGCGGGATCTTAGTTCCCCAACCAGGAATCGAACCCGTGCCCCCTGCAGTGGAAGCGGGGAGTCCTAAACACTGGACCACCAGGGAATTCCCTTGTTTTTATTTTTAAGATCCTTAGGGTCATAAATGAATTTAGGCCTATAGGCAAATTAGAATTATAAGAAGAAATGGAGAACACAAACCAGGACCAGGGGTGGTATTTCTCAATGTCATGAGTCTGAGGGCTGAGCTACTGATGTGGGAAATGGGGAAGTTGAAGCAGTCTAGGCTGGTACCCTGGAGCTGGCTGCAAGGCTCCATCATAAAAGTGTCTACTTCAAGGGCAGTAAGGCTTGGTTTTTCCGCCGGACTCCAGAGGGCCCCACTCACCATCACAGTCAAAGAGCGCAAACACCACATCACACACGTGATCTGAGAGTTCCACTTTAGCCACTGTCCTGGCCACCTGCTGCATGGTTACTGAAAGAAGAAAGATGTTGAGTTAGCACAGCAGAGGGACTTTCATTTTGCTTTCTCTGAATGGAAGGATAAAACTATTCAGTCACAATAAAAAATTTTCAAGTGTATTTACGTCACATTTAAGAAAATGGTAATTCAGTTTTTAATCCATAACCCCCTTTCCTTTTCACGTCAGATTCCATTTTCTTTCTACTGCTGCCACAATTTAGGAGGTATATATAATTAAGTAAGAATGCCTGATACTAAATTTATAGAGAAAGTAGATTGGAGGTTACAAGGGGCTGGGGAGTTAGTGGTTAATCGGTACAGATTTTCTGTTTGGGGTGATGGAAAAGTTTTGGAAATAGTGGTGATGGTTGTACAACACTGTGAATGTCATTAATGCCACTGACTTACATACTTAAAAATGGTTTAAATGGCAACTTTTGTTATATATATTTTACCACAATAAAAATTTAAAAAGTGAAAATCCACATAATATTTAAGGATGGAATTCTAAGTCTTCAGCATGCAGTGGTGGCTTTTCTAATAAATTATTACCAGAAGAGTGCCTTGAAAAAAAATAAAGAATGCCTGATTGTCTCCGTCTTGGCATTTCCCTCCCACTGGAAAGAACACAATAACAAAAAGTCAAGGAAATAATGAGGCAGAGAAAGGATGGGGAAGTGGGGAACAAGGAGACTTGTCTGAGTGCACTGAGGCTTCACCCACCCGTTACTGACTAACAGTGGAGAATCTGCATGGCTGAGCTCCTGCCCTTCCTCCCAACAGGTTTTCCATCAGCCACTTTGTCTTTCCCAACTGTGCCGCTTGGGAGAAGCAGTGGCCCCATCTCACTAGATCAATACAGTCTCTCTTTTTTTTTCTTTTTCCAGATCTCATCAGAAACTCTCTTCTCTCTTGCCATTTTTTCTTTCTCTGACATTTACTGTTAAACACTAGCAATCACGTGAGAACTGGGTTCTCACAAAAAACAAGCCAGGAGGGACTAGGCAATTTCCCCTGCCTTCTCTGCCATTTATCCTCAAGCCTGATCCAGCTACATCTATAAATTATGTTATTGCTTATAGACACACTCTTAAGTGAGGTAAAACTCAGAGGAAAGAAAAAGATGAATTTCTATTTATGAACCAACCAGCAACGAAGTGTTCATATCTATAAACCTCAGATTAGATTCTTCTAGAAGCGATGTGAACTTAAACTAAAGGCAGTGTGCTTTCTCTGCTTATTTCATTCCTATAATTTCAGTTCTTTCTTGTCATTTTTTTTCTGCATTTGCTCTTTCACTTCACCTCTATAGCCTCCATTATATTCACCACAGGGCCCTTGAGGTCAGCTGATACAAATGCCAGAACAATGCAGAGGAGCAAGGAGACGCAGTAGAAAAACTGCTTGCAAGTCACAAGACCTGAGCTCTAGTCCTGGCTCCATCAACTTGCTGTGGTGGAGCCAGAACAATGCAGAGGAGCAAGGAGACACAGTAGAAAAACTGCTTGCAAGTCACAAGACCTGAGCTCTAGTCCTGGCTCCATCAACTTGCTGTGGTGGAGTCATCTGATCTCTTTAGGTATAATATTCTCATATTCAAATGACGGGATGCCACAGGATAGCTGCTGAGGTGGCTTAGTAGTGCAAGGAATGGTTTATTGGCATTTTCTAGAATCTGAGGGTGAGGGATAGGGGTGGAGGTACACAGAAACAGCTGAAGATCTTGTGTGGCGAAGGGCAGAAGAAAGATATAAAGGCCACAAGCTGGGCTGTACCTTAGTGTCCACAGCCTCTGGCTGGAGAGGGACTAGGCTGCTCATGAGAGCGGGAAGAGTCAGATTCCTCCTCCTGCAGCTTTAGGTTACTGCTCATACCGCCCCTCTTCCCGGGATGCGAGAGTGAAAGAGGAATCAACATCCCTTGGAACTAAAAGACTTAAGCAGAATATATTATTGTGTGGATGTTCACGAGATGTGGTTAAGTGCTGATGGGGGAGATGGGGCCTCTACTAGACTGTAGAAATTCTAGGGTTTAGAAACTTAGCCTCGTAGGTCTAGACACTTGATTCTCTCAGTCGGCTCAGGAAGAACTGATTCCTGCTAACTAAATGGCCCGGGGAAAGAGGAGAAACCAGAAGGCCAATTTACAATGAAAATAGTAACTGTTAAGAGAACTAAACTGATGACAGCTGGCCATTATACTTCTCAGTAGGAAAATCTACTAAGGAAACTCAGTTCACCACAGAAGATTGCTCAGTGAAAAGCGAATCAGATCAGAAAACACTGGATGCTCTCAAACAGTGATCATTTACTGAATTACCCTTTGCGGCCACAGAAATGTGTCCTGAGAAGTGGCTCAAAACCTGTTCTATGTAGGTAAACATGAATGCTTTATGTTAACCATTCCTTTCTCTGCCAATGTTTGTTAACCATGCCTTTTTCACACCAATACCACACCTGTTATAACTGATAACTACCCTCTTTTTCTCTTTCCCAGTTCCATTTTCTCAGGGCAGAGTGCCTATTGCCAATTCTTTTTTTAAAATTGGAGTATAGTTGCTTTACAATGTTGTGTTAGTTTCTACTGTACAGCAAAGTGAATCAGCTACACATATACATATATCCCCTCTGTTTTGGATTTCCTTCCCATTTAGATCACCACAGAGCACTGAGTAGAGTTCCCGGTGCTATATAGTAGTGCTAATTCTTCTTGATGCTCCAAGTGCCTATCCTTTTCCCCATGAAGATAGACTCTTTCCTCTAAATAAACCATTAACTAAATAATATCCAAGAATGTCAGTGAGAGCTCTTGGCTTTTTTTTTTTTTTTTTTTTTTTTTAGTGGAAAGCTCATTAAAGTGGTACTAAGTGGTTGTAGAACAGGGACTTCTGGAAGCCACTGTCAGGAATCCCTCATTACAAATACCATCTCTTGACAGAATAGTTACAGAATATGTTCCATCTCACATGGAGAGGGCTCTGATGCCATCTGTACTACAGGAGCTAAGTTATTCAAACCACTGGGATGTTACCAGCCAGCAAAGAGCCTGGCTGGGGTGCCCTTTCACAGTTCAAGATCCTCAGATAAGCCCCCAGAGTGTGAATCAGAGCAGTGGAGGAAACAAACATTATACTGGCTGGTGAGCTGTACAGCCAAGAGCACTTGGGACAAGTAGGATGACAGCAGATTACAAGCCAAGTGCTTGACAGCTGGTCCTGAGAGTTGGCTCATTCAGATTTGCTTCCACATCTCTGAACCACAAAGCCATAATTAAATCACAGCAAGGAGAGCAATCCCTCACCCCCTCTGCCCCAGATCTCAACTTCTCCATGCAGACCAGTTGTTGGTACTGGAATTTGGGCCTCCCTTATTTCATGATGCTAATTGATTGATGGTTGGGGCTCTAATCTGAAAGATGTCTCTATGGAGCATGAAGTCACCCTGGAGAAGCCTACGTTTCCAAGGCCTATCTATTCCTTTGGTACAAATCTGGTCCAGCTGCCTGAACAATAGATGGACATGAGATTGGGTGGTTTCTACTAGATTGGGGTGGGAAGGAATTTGCAGAAGCGTGCTGAATTGGCACTCAAAAATGTGTTAACCATCTGGCTTTTTGAAAAGTCCAGGCAGAATCTGAATTGTGCCAGGACCCCCAATTTACTCTCTGGCACAGTCCATGACTGGGCAATTCAGCCTCAGACAGAAACTCATACTGAGTTCGTGTGACTATAATGTCAGAAGCTATATTACATAAAAGTATTCACAACAGTAGTTGAACAGAGGAAAGGAGAGTTCTGGAGGGATAAGAGCCCAGACATCCACTTGGAATCAGAATCTTAGAACTGGAAGAGACCTCAGACGAAAGGTAAAATGCAGAGAATTTGAATAACTTGCTCAGGGTCACAAAGCTAACTAGTAGCACAGCTGGGTCTAGAATCAGGGTCTTCTGACTTCCAGCCAATGCTCTTTTCCCTATACACACTGGATCCACTCGACCCCTTATATGGACAACGGATCCCCCCATGAATCTGTCACTCTGTTGTTTTTTTTTTTTTTTGGCCGAACCTCATGGCTTGCATGATCTTAGTTCCCCGACACCCTCGGCAGTGAAAGCACGGAGTCTTAATCACTGGACCGCCAGGGAATTCCCATTAATCTGTCACTCTAAACAAGAGAAAGAGCTCAGATGAAAGAAAAGCCAAGTTGGGGATTACTCCTTGCTAGTGGGCAGGGACGAATAACTGAGTAACAACTAGGGGTTGTGAAGAGCCAGCATTATAGTTTGACCACAGATCTGATTGCCCTACACATTAGCATTCCCTTGGAATGCATACTGACAATTTTAAGAACTTAAAGAAGTTTATTAAAATGCAACCCAGTGAAAAGCATATAAAACAAAGGTGGCCCTGGGAGCTTCTATACCTCTGATGCATAGATAGATCTACGGACAGTGTGACCCAGTTAGGAACTGCCTGTCTCTTCCTAATGCAAAGATGTTTGGAAAGGTGATATGCCACGTTGGGTTGACAGTCTCTAGCTGTGCGGCCATGTGATTATTCCTGTCTTCCTGGACTGCAGTGGAGAAAATCAAAAGCTGGCTGGTGACTGCCAAGGTTAAGTAAGGGAAGACATTTCTGCTTCAGCTTTGGAAGGGCTTATGATGCAGAGGTCGGTCCTAGTTTCTTAAATCCATACCTAGATGGCTTCGGGGAAGGCAGGGACGGGGGAAGGATTTTCCTTTAAAAAGCACCTGTCCTTTCTTGGCAGTATCTTCTTCCAAGATACTTTGGCTAATACAACATACACATTTCAGCCTGACTGAGGGGGTGTGGGTGGGGAGAAAAGGACAATATTTAGGATGACAAGCAATTTAAGGAGCCAAGAGCAATGCAGTATACTAATAATGAAAAATATAACAATTCTGTGTTCTGCACGGTGCTTCTGAGCTGCAGGCAGGTTGACCCCCTCTGTGTGCTCAGGCAGTCCGCCGTCAGAGGTGATGCTGGTGATCCT